TTTGGTTTCACCCAACATATGAAATATGATTGATTAGAGAAATAAAATGGTATAAACAAATATAAAATATACAGAGTATTTATCTAGTTCAAACATAGGTTACATTTTCACTGGCATTTGCTTTACCTCCAAAGTTAAATCTTTAACCCAATTTTGTTTCTCTAGCATTTCTGAGTTCAAAAATGACCCTTCGTGCAATATAAAATGGAAAATTAATATACCTTAGCCAAACGTTCCTCGCGTCTGGCAAACTTTCTTTCCCTGCTTGCCTTGTTCTTTGCCCTCTTAGCCTCAAACTGGTCAGACAACGTTTTTTCTCTGGCCTTTTCAGCTTTTGATTTGTGAATGCTCTCCATCAGAACACGTTTGTTCTTGAAAACATTACCCTTAACCTTCATGTACATGTCATGGTACATGTGTTTGTCAATCTTCTTAGACTCACGATACTTGCGGAGCAAGCGTCTCAGAACCCTCATTCTCCTCATCCATAGCACTTTAGTGGGCAACCTAGCCTCCCTAGTACCCCTGCGCTTACCTGGAATTTTTGCATGACAACTCAACCAAGTACAATAAGAAGAAACATCCCCAACATGATACCAAAAAACTTCGACATGGTGATGCTGTATAGGAATAAAATATGATCAAGGAACATAAATTGAAATAATACTGCCAGCAGAAGATATGTACAAAACAATCACAAACATAAATCCTTCTCTAAACGAAGGGAGTACCATATCCAGAATGGCGACCCTTCCGCTTTGCCTCCTTCATCCTACGAGCACGAGACCTTGAGTGAATCTTGGTTGGCTTCCTGATGATGAACCCATCCTTTACAAGTTTCCTTATGTTTTGTCCTAAGCACAATCCAATAGAAAAGATATTCTTTTAAAACCATGACACAAACAATATCTATGAGCTCACACAGGACGATAATTCTGATTCCATACAAATATGTACATAAAGAAGTCCACTATTTTACAAACCAAAACAACAGATGCATCATCACCGGCCATCACTAATCAATGAAATTCATAACGAATTGTATGAGAAAAAACCTGGACTTATAATATAATAATAATTTTGAAATGAACAGATCACAACCGTCGTGCTAACAGTTATTTCACCATGAGAGATAAAAAAAATGAAACACGTCGATTCCGATTTCGAAATTAAAAGGATTTGCAATTAAATATCCGAATAAGATATACGTTCTAATCAATTTTCTCCGATCGAGAGAGAAAAAGACATTTCAATTGATGATTGAAGTGAAAAGCATATGAGCACAAAGTTTGAGAGCGGTGGGGGAGATCTTACGGGAGTTTGCCATGGAGATTTCACTGACTTCATTTGGATCGAGCCAGACCTTTCCCTTGCCGCACTTGAGAACGCTGGCGGCGAGCCGCTTCTGTAGCTTCAGCGTCACCATCTTCGCTTCCCTTCGCTCCCTCCCACGGTGGCGATGCCAAACTGCTATAGCGTTATCTCGATCGAGGGTTTTGAAGGACGACACAAGGTTTGGGTTCCTTTAGGGTTAATGGGCCCAAAACGGAGTATCTATTAGACGCTTGTTCCCTATCTCGGCCCAAATCAAAATTTACTATCATTTCGTAAAATTAAGGCCCATGTCTTTGTCAGAGATTAAGGATGGGTTCATGGGTTCATCATCAGGAGTAGTATCTAAAAATATTCAAATTAGTCAATATACATAAAATCAAATCAAATTTAGTCTTTGTACTTTTTATTTTTGTTCAATCAGGTCTTTGTCTTCAATTGTTTCTTGTGTATTGCCCCAAGTTTTAAACGATGCCGTCAAATTTTTATTTTAAATGATAGAGTATGAACTTATTGTTTTGACATACTAACTTAAACTTATTTTTTATAAATATTATTTATATTTTTTTATTTATATTTTTTTATAAATATTATTTACGTATATTTTTTATGAAAAAGTCATTATATCAAGATATTTCTCTTGAAAAAATGTCGGGTATAAAGTACGGAGTATAACAAGAAAACTATTGAATTCAATAATTGATTGATGCATTCACATATTCTTGGGAGAGTATTTATTGCGTCCACGCACACAATTACAATCCACTCACCATAAAAAATCGCCAAATCTGCGACGGAAAATGAATTCTTTTGTGAAGTAAATGTTCGTCGCAAATCTGGTGATTGCGAAATACATAGTTCTTAGTAAATCTAATGGTTGCAGGCCACATTTGCGATGGAATTTTCGTCGAATATTACACCTGTCACAAAATCAAGTATTTCCATAGCTAAATCAGTACGTCACAAAGCCACCGTTGCAAGTTGAATTTTTTCTTGTTGGGATTTTATGCGAGATTTGATCGAGTCTCAAATAGCAACTAAGACCTTCTCTACGGGTCTTCTCCACCTCAAGTGTCAATATTCCAACTACTTCTGTGCATGCCTCACGGTTCAGGCAAGTCGACCCACCCATCGAGCTCATGGGCTTGGTCCTTGGACATGTGCTCATCAGAACCCGAGCTAGTAGCTCCTTGATTGAGATCCTATGTTGTATATTTAGGTGTACCTAGAGCCAAATAGTCAATAAATGTTCATTTTTCAATCAACGCAGTGTTTATTCTGAAGCAACGGTGTACTCGACAGTGTACGCATTCCAAGTCTGCTCAGAGTAGTATATCTATTCTGAAATAACATAGTATTCATTCTAAAACAATATAATATTCATTTTGAAACATTTTTAATTATAAATTTATCAACTTAATAGTAAGAACTTCAAAAATTGTGAGACAATTGTCTTGGAGAGTGCAAGAAGATTTTTGTTTAGGAAATTAAATTACGAAGCTGATGTTTCTAAACATCTCTTTTCAGTTGACAGCATTTGGGACTTTGGGTGAGCTTTTCTCCGGCGCGCCTTCAGATTGGAAAGGGGCCGCCGGCCGTCCGGCAGTTCGCACGCTTGCCGGAGATGAGTCAGTGACATGTACCCCAATTTATCCTCGAAGTTCCTAAGAAATAGACGAAGCACAAGTAATAATAATAATAAATGGAGAAAAACAAGGAGAGTAACAAACCAAATATCTCATCAGGCTTGTGTATAAGCTTGGCTTTTCACCTCCCGCCTCACATTCCACAATTCAATTCGCTCTGTTCTTCCACATCTGATCCAGAGGTAATTCATTTTCTACCATAGCTCTGTGCCTCCATCATCGTTCTTCCCTTTTTCTCCCACCCTTATCGAGCAGCAATTATTATTAAGCCGTGTTTCAATTATCCAGATTATCCATGGAACACGAATTTAAGACACATATTAGAATTCATGAAATTTAGATCTGCAATTAAGTCATATGCATTGAACGGATATTGAAAAGCTTAAGGTAATGCTCTATATCATACATTTCTTATATTCTTGTATTGTGAAGTAATTTCACCTGACCAGTATCTCCTTGCGCATATCCTTAATGGTCAACAAATCCAAATCTGGAAGGCATCCTAATTCGAGTTTCAGATATTAATACTCTGCTTTGTTCTTTTTTTTTTGAATATTGAAATTTTACATATTTTCATTTTCTTTTTTTAATTTTGAAATTTTATATATTTTCATTTATGTCAGACTGATTTGAATGTCTATTTTCTACGGAGTATTTTTTTAAACAAATAATTTCTATTTGAAAAATTATTCTAGAAGAACATGTTTGTGGTCATTTCATCCTATCATTCTCATTGTCATTCAGCTTCATTATGATCTATATACCTTTCGGGTGTTTATCCCTAAACTATTTGTATTTCCCAAAAAATACCGAGTAATTTTCAGGTAGTTAGCACCATGATGTATCTTTAGTGTCATCTTTGTTCAAGGATTATGAATGATTAAATAAAACAGCTGAAAAATATAAATGAATGAACTATATGTAGATAATAATAAAAAAAATGGAACCTCTTTCAAATACGGAGTATTAATCAATCTTGTTAATATGAGCTATAATTTCATCTATCTTACGTAACTTTATTTTTCATTGTGAAACAAGTTTGATACCATATGGAGTATTTACTCGTGTTAACAAGGATCATTGTGCACGAAAATGTATGTTTGTTGTGTGCTTGTGTTTATTTGTGCTCATGCATCAACTCATCTAGAATGGCCCTACATTTTTAGGAAAATGAATCAAATATGATGCAGTCAATAATTAAATGGAATTTGTGCCCATTCGAATGTTGTGTGTGTGTCACTGCATCAAGTGCATGCATGATGACCTTTTCACCAAGGTTCCAACACTCCAGAGGCTGGCCTTCATACACTGCTGAAACCACCTCCCACATAAACTGAAGGAAAAAAATATCCAGAATTTTTGTACCACGTACAACTCATCAATGATGTCGTTTTCCGATTCCGAGACGTCCTCTCATGGCAGCACAGAGTATAAAAACTTCCGGCAGGTCACCCGCGAAAGTAATCTCTCTCTCTCTCTCTCTCTCTCTCTCTCTCTCTCTTACACACACACACACACACAGATATATATATATATGTATGTATGTATGTATGTATGTATGTATGTATGTATGTATGTATGTATGTATGTGTGTGTGTGTGTGTGGGCGCACACACACACATTCCTTTCAGGATTCCACTCTTGATCACTGTTGGAGTAAAGGTAAGATATACGTATATCTTGCCCTTGCGCCTTACTCTCGAGCACGATATACTGGGTTTGTTTGGTTTGGTACTTTCAGGCTCTAACTCATTTTCACTATTTGGCTATTTTTTTTTAATTTCTGGCGGGACCGTTACCTAGATTAGCTTATGTTAACGGTCATGTCTTCTATCTTGTTATAATTTGATACCAGAGTATAAATTTCCTACGCAGATCAACTTTCTGAAACTCATCGGGTTTTTTCTTAGCCTTTAATGTTGTGGAAATCATAAAATCTAATATGAGATGTTTTTTTAAATGCAGGACTGTTGTATGAAATGCTCCGCTCATCCAAAACAGACGACCCAAGATCTGCATGGAGGGTATGTTTTCTGAGTGTTTGGGGAATGAGTTTCTTCTGTTTTTAATTTTCTCTTGGATAATTTTTTTTGATGAATTAACATACAACAATCTGTGTATCAAAAAATTACAATTATATTATTTTTTTATTTTTTCAATGAAAGTGTAGTTTCATTCGATGGGTCTAGAGTTTGAGCACTTTGCAACTAAAACTCTTATAAAACTTGTTCTTATGTTTGTTGCAGGTACTCATCATGGACAAAGTTACATTGAAAGTGATGTCTTGCTCATGCAAGATGGCAGATATCACAGACGAAGGAATTTCCTGTGAGTGCCAGCATATTCCATTTCATGGGATTAATCATTATCTGATTTGGCCTTTTGCTCCTGAGATTTTCATATCTAACACTGAAATGTTCAAGTTCATTTGATAATCATCCTGATATTTTATTTTTCAGTCATCAAATCAATCACTTATATCTTGTGTATTTACAGGTTAATATCTTATCAAATTTCCATCAGCTAATTAGTTCCTCTTTAATGCAGTGGTGGAAGATCTTTTCAGAAGAAGAGAACCTTTACCCAGTATGGATGTCATTTATTTCATCCAACCAACCAAGGAGAAGTGTGTTTGTTGTTCCATCTTTTACATTCTAATCAATTTCTTTGCAAATATGATCTATAAGAAAAGGCTTACATTTCCAGTGTTTAACTTTACAGTGTGATCATGTTTCTATCTGATATGTCTGGGAGAGAACCTTTATACAGAAAGTATGTGAGAGAATCTAAATACAGAACTATCTGTCTTTGCTATACTATGTTCCTCTTATTCACAACTATCTCTTCTTTTCTGCACAGAGCTTATGTGTACTTCAGTTCACCCATACCAAAGGACCTGATTGCTCGTATCAAGAATGATACAAGTGTATTACCACGTATAGGTGCACTGAGAGAGGTTGCAATCGCTCTTTTCTGCCATATGGATACTATTCTACAAAACAAATTGTTGGCATTGGGTATTGATCTTTTTCTCTCTTTGCATTGCAGATGAATTTGGAGTACTTCCCAATGGACAGTCAGGTGTTCGTCATTTGATTTGGCCAATTTAATGCATGAAAATGTGGCTCACACAAGTTTCATGAGAATCATCTCACATTGTAATGTATCTTATTGTGTACATTAATTTCAATTTTTATTTTCTTTTTTAGGGATTTCTCACTGATCAGGACAGAGCATTAGAGGAACTCTTTGGTGAAAATGCGGAGAATTCACGTAGCTTTGATGTGTGCTTGAACACAATGGCATCTAGAATTGCCACAGTGTTTGCTTCACTAAAGGTGACATTTAACATATCTATTATTGATCCGGTTTTAAAATTAGCTTTTCTTGTTTTTCTTCACTTCATGTGGACCAGAGAAAATAAAAAAGCAGATGATGTCTCCAATATGTCCCAAGTGTGCAGATATTTGGGCTGACATATCTACTTGTTTAACATTTCTCTCAGGAATTTCCTATTGTGCGGTATCAAGCTCCCAAAGGAGTTGATGCATCTAAAAGACGAAACCACGAATTAATTCCCACGAAGCTTGCTGCTGCAATTTGGGACTGCATTTCTACATACAAAACCACTATCCCTAACTATCCCCAAAAAGAGTCGTGTGATTTACTGATTGTGGATAGATCAATTGATCAGGTCACACTCTTAATTCAATGAAATTAATTTTGAACATTATACGGAGTACATTTATATGTCATCATTTTTTTAATATTTAAAATGTGACCAAAATCTGTATATTCAGATTGCTCCTGTCATCCATGAGTGGACTTATGATGCTATGTGCCATGACCTTCTTGAAATGAATGGTAACAAATATGTACATGAGGTACATGTTTATTTACGTGAGCTTTATATTATGCTTCTCTATGTTCATATATTGTTCATTAATAACATGGTGTATGTTAGATTCCTAGCAAGTCCGGTGGTGACCCCGAGAGGAAGGAAGTTCTTTTGGAAGATCATGATCCTGTCTGGCTTGAACTTAGGCATGCTCATATAGCAGAAGTATATGACTTAACACTCGATTGCTCTTTAGTTTGTTGGGTGCCCATTTGTTGTGTGACTACATTTAACCCCATGAGTTCATTATCATCAGGCCAGTGAAAAGTTACACGAAAAAATGACCAATTTCGTTTCAAAGAACAAAGCAGCACAACTGCAACAAAGGTTGGTGCTGTTTCAACTGGATAAGCAGAATGGTTTATGACTATGATGCATTCTTGTACTTTTTCCCCCCACTTCAGTACTAAATTTAAAATCCCTTATCATGTAGAGATGGTAGTGAACTATCAACCCGGGACATACAGAAAATGGTTCAAGCTTTGCCACAATACAATGAGCAAATGGAGAAACTTTCTCTCCATGTGGCGGTGAGTATCGTCGATATGTATCCTCATTCCTATGTATACTGTCCACATTGATTTTCACTTTTTCATGCTTTCATTAGATTGCTGGTAAGATAAACACAATTACAAGAGAGCAAGCACTTCGTGATCTTGGACAGCTGGAACAAGATCTTGTCTTTGGTGATGCTGGATCAAAGGAAATGATCAGTTTTCTTAGGATGAAGCAGGTAATAATTGTGTTGGTGTTTGTCTACATTCCAGCATCACACACATGCATACTGCTATTTACCTATTAATGCCTCTCCCCCACCACCAAAAATAAATGCAGGATGCCACAGCTGAAAACAAGCTGCGGTTGATGATGATTTATGCATCAGTTTATCCAGAGAAATTTGAGGGTGATAAAGCAGCAAAGCTCATGCAGGTTTGTAGACGGTGCTTTTGCCCAGTCTTGTAGTTTATTACTTCATTATATCCAGTTCTCCGTTCAAGTCCATACTATATTTGGAGCAATAAAACAAAAAAATGTAAAAAATATACAAAACTGTTACATGACAAGAAATTGTTTTTCTACACATCATATCACGAGATGACCTTTATATCACATGGCAGAGTGTGTTTTTCTGTCAATAAATCAAAGAACATATAAAACTTGTGTGACAAGATTCACTAGGATTTTTGTTATTATTTACCCTCAGTTGGCAAAACTATCAGCTGAAGATATGAAGGCAGTGAAAAACATGAAAATGCTGGAGGCGTCAGATACCAGAAAGACCTCAAATGGAGGTTTCTCGCTAAAGTTTGATTCGCAAAAGGTATATATATCCACGTGAAAAGAATTCCCGTCTGTAACACACATAATCATATAAACTTGACCTGAGATTTCTACAATCTTTTGGTTTCTTTTTAGAGGAAGAATGCAGCTCGCAAAGACCGAACTGGAGAGGAAGAAACATGGCAGCTTTTTCGGTTTTATCCTGTAGTAGAGGTTTCTTTATGTCTTTCTACTTATCCTTGTGTTGTATAAGCTATGCATTCCTACCTTAGTGAGTGTTTACATACATGGATTGTGTGTTTATTTTCAGGAGCTGATTGAACAGTTGTATAAGGGTGAACTACCAAAGGATGACTATCAATGCATTAATAGTGCAGGTCCATCTGGTCAAGGGGTTGTTGATGTGGATACAAAGGCTGCATCATCAAGGTCAAGAGCAAAGTCAACCGAACCAACTACAGGTCCACGGTCAATGAGATCGAGGAGGACTCCGAACTGGGCCCGTTCTCGTGCTTCTGATGATGGATATTCCAGGTACACATTTGCCATTTACCCCATTAAGAATATGTAATAGTAGTAATAAACTTCTATTACAAAACCTAACAATAAAGTTCTATTTACAAAAATTTAGAATAGAGTTCTACAACAACAAAAAAACCCAGTAAAATCCCCCAAAAGTAGGGTATGGGGGTGTGTGTATGTAGACCTTACCCCTACCTGAGAGTAGAGAGGTTGTTTCCAAGAGACCGCTGGCTCAAGCAACTCAGAGAGCAAATAAAAATAATACGACAACAAGATCAAAAAAGCAAGCAAAGGATGATAGGAAACACAAATAATGCAGTCATGCACAACAACAAGAGCAGAAAACTCCCACTCGACCCCAAACGGCTACCCAGCTATCCTAGTCCTAGATGACGTACCTATCTACGTCTTGGCCCCGGCCAAGTCGAGGGGGCAACTTACCCTCTTTACAACTTTGAAAAGAGTGAAGTAAACCTCACATGGTTTACTGGGGCTGAGTATAGTATATAAGTGTTTTGTAAATCTCACCTCTTGAACATCTTTTGGGCAGCTAAGGGATTTAACTTGGTACCCAAGACTAGTCAGACGGTGTTGTTGTAGGATGCCTAGCTACTAGATGGTTTGTGGCAATGTGTTTCGGAACCGGTTTAGGTCCATTTGCCATTCCCTTGAGTTGTCCCAGTGTTGTCTTAACTTAAGCCTCATCTCATGTAAGAGAGATCGAACTTAGACCCAATGTAACATAGAGTATGATCTTGTAAATGAGGTGCCTCAAGTTCTTTCTGTACTTTTGTTAGTGACTCATCTGTGAGAAATGGATCTGTGGATTCTAAGAAGATGGGACGGCGCATTTTCATATTCATAGTTGGTGGGGCAACACGATCTGAGGTAAGTGGTCCTCATTTCTTGTGGATTGTGCATTTAAGGCGATCTTTTTTTTTTGTTGCCCGCCCATTTCACCGGAGCTTTGTCTTGACTACACCCGAATCCGACTCGGGTTGTGCAACTTGCTCTGGCGGGTGAGTCTCCCACTGGAGTTTTTCGCCATACACTTAAGGCTTGAACTCCATACGTTTCTTAAGCGATATTGAACTGCTTGCCACTTGAGTTTTTCGGCATACACATAAGGCCATCCTTTTGATGTTTATTACCCGAGTATAATTTTTGTTTTTTTTGTGCGCAGCTTAGAGCTTGTCACAAACTTACAGCAAAGTTCAAGCGGGAGATCGTCCTTGGTTCAACTAGTTTAGATGATCCACCTCTATACATCACGGTAATCTATCAATTATCTTTCTGTTGCAGTGGACTCATGTTGCCGTGAAATTATTATTGCCGGAATCTTTTGAACACACATCCCCCATATCCCAACTTGTGGGATTTTACGGGGTCTGTTACGTTGTTGTTGTCGTCGTGGAATTATTATTATAATTATCATACAAATAAACTTGTGGAGAGTGATGATCATCATCTCTCAATCCTCACATATTCTGCAGAAACTGAAGTTACTCTCGGAACCGGAGCTCTCCATTGATAACATCAGAATCTAGAAAGGTTTGAGCCTGTGAAGTAAATTTTTGTCTGGACAAGCAGGCCAGTTTGATTGAAGTTTCCCTTGTAGTAATGAAATTTTGTTAGGGCTTGTTTGGGAATAACGTTAGAGATTAGCGTTGGCATTTTGAAAAGGCTATCTACGGGCAATGTTTAGCGTTAGCATTTTCAAGTAATCTGCACCGTTAAAATTTATCCAAAACGCTAATCTTTAATGTTATTCCCAAACAGGCCCTTAGTCTATAGCTGAAAACAAACATTGTACATTTGTACTGAGAGTGCTTTACCCATTTTCTTCAATATGAAAGTGTATCGTGCTCTATAATGTAAGACTGATAATTTGCCATATAATGGTCACTTTACGTTTAAAAATAGAAATAATGTTTTTTATATACTCCAATCTATATTTAGAACTAATATCCAATTTGGAACATAGACTATATAGAGGGTGTTTGGCAGTGCGATGCTTTTAACAATTTAGCTTCTGCGTTGAGTGGAAGTGATTTTACTCTGTTTGGCATGTCAGCTTCTGCTTTTCACCAACATTATTTTGTACATGAAACATCGTTTCGGAGAAGCAAGTATGAGGTGCTTTTGCTTTCAACTTTTATAGAAATCACTTTATCCATAAGCTAATCACTCCTAAACACCCTTTACTCAATTTGCTCCTTAACTTTTTATTGTATTTTTGTTCGTTCATTTAATTTAGATCCAATTTCCCACGCAATTTGGCCCTTAACTTTGTGATGATATCATATTACTCCCTAATTCCCAACAATAATATATGGAGTGGATGAACTCAACCCTTGTCCCCTTTTGTCTTTTTGAATTACATTTCTTAATTACAATGGCATTAGAACTAAATAGAGTTTGAATTGCTTCTCCATAATTTGGATTATGATATAAATTCAAAATGGATAAGTATCTACATATAAATAAAAATATTTCGTATTAATGATTAAAGTGTTGTATAGAAGACAGTGTAAGTCGATGTTGAAAGAAACAAAGAGACATACTATTTTTAATTAAATTGATGATGATTGTATTTCTTGTTTTGATTATCTTTTTTAAATTCTCGAAAATCATTTTAAAAAAATTATTAGAACGGGAAAAACAGTTGTTTACACAAATCTTGGTCAGATAAAGATATTATCCGTTAAAAAGCACTGCCACATAAATTAGTGGCTGTATTTGGCCAACAAATCATCTTCTAATAAGTTCATCAATATCCGCCAAAACCCAAAAACACTAATTCCCCCACCGTGGGGCTCGAACCCACGACCACAAGGTTAAGAGCCTTGTGCTCTACCAACTGAGCTAGACGGGCAACTTGGGAGAAACTTGTTTTAAATTGTTATTATCATATAGTGTTACATTTGTCTCGGAATTCGAAAAATATGCTCCAAACCTTTATACTCCCTCCGTCCCAAAAAGATCTTCCTGTTTCATTTTTTGCGCATCTCATAAAATACTTCTATCCTGACTCAAATGCAAAAAAAACTTTCAAAACAACTTCTACTTACAAAAAATGAGAAATGTGGTAATTTTTAGGTATTTTAGATATGTATAAAAGTGTTTTATAGGATTCGCAAAAATAAAACAGGAATATCTTTTTGGGACGGAGGGAGTATTAGACAAAAAAGTCTAACAAATAAAGTAGAAGAAAAGTTTTCCCGAAGACACATATTGGGGAAAATAAAATTCTGTTTTGATACTGAATTTGTTAAACAAATTAAAAGTAAATTCAAATCTCTAACCAGTATAAAATACTCCTTCAAATGTCGCAAAAAATAATTTTTTTGTCAAAACAAGTATGCAGTATGTTTGAATAGATATTAATCCATTTGTTCCGATGAATAACTTATGGTTGATGCTAAATCTAGACCCTAGCTAAATTCACTCAGTTTATAAAAATGGACATCATTGCCCTTTCATTTATTTCTTTTCACAAATCAAACATTAAGGATAAATTTATCTATTTGACATAAACGTGAGTGGATATAGCAATAACTATAAATTATTTTTTAAAATATTTTTTTAGGTGTTGGGAAATTATAGTGTTCTTTTTGTGTTTGTTTTAGATATGTTTAATTGTTCATACTTGTGAATTTACTTTTGTCTCAAGTTTTCTCTTGAAAAGTTACTCCATAATATTTTTGAAACTAAATCTTTTATTTTCAGGCTTAAACAAACCGTGAGATATTTTATTTTGCACAATTTTTTTTTGAAATCTTGAAGCTTTTTTCATGATATGGATGAAACAATAGAGCCAGGAAGAGCTTCCTTCCTAGTTTTAGTGACAGGAGGTGTTCATTTTTTGTTGTCAAAACTTTTTTTTACAAACATGATAGAATTTGGGATGTGTATTGATAACTGGATTGGGCAATAAGATACTTGGGCTGAACCACATTAAAAGATTGAATCCAATTGATTAGTTAGTTTAACTCAAAGGCTTATATACCGGGTTATTTTTCTCTTCAAGTTTCGATGTGGGATACTCTTAACACTCTCCCTCAAGTGGACAACCGGGCAATTTTGAATCTAACCGGTTGACCACTTGCAAATGAACTCCTATCCCCTTGACTTTTTTTTAGCGCCAACACCTAAAGGACCACGAGCCGCTGGGTATGGACTTCCAGACGTGCAATCGAGTCACACAAGGTACATACTCCATACGGACAACTGGGCTAAACACTAACGGGGCGCTAGGAATGAACGTCTAGACGGACACCTTGACAAACGAGGTGGGCAAAAACCTGCTCTGATACCAAGATATAATTTGAGATGGGTATTGATAACTGGATTGGGCAATAAGATACTTGGGCTGAACCACATTAAAAGATTGAATCCAATCGATTAGTTAGTTTAACTCAAGGGCTTATATACCGGGTTATTTTTCTCTTCAAGTTCTGATGTGAGATATTCTTAACAACAAATAGCTAGATTGGTTTAGAAGTATTTGTAGATGTTTTAGTATATACCTCTAGCATCTTGTTCGTCAACTTGTAAAGATCTACAGCTTCCCAGAATCCTGATCTGAATAGGGGTCGAGAAATTGCTGAAATCTGATTTTCTTGTCCAGATATGCGCTAAAACATTCTAATTAATTAATAGGTAATTACTTATTGTGCAAGAATTTACGCGTAACATAGGAAAAAATGATCTTAAAGATGGAGTCCTATAGTCTTATAAGGTTTGCCTATTTTTGGAATTGAACTCCTAGTTTTACAAGGATTGCTAAAATAAGTCTCCTAGGTTAAGTGTGTGCCTATGCATACGCCATGAGACTCTCACATAGCCGAGAGACGCCCGAGAGAAAGAAAGGGATGATCCAAGATTCAAAATTCATATTCCGTGTCATTTGTGAGAGACGATGATAATGTATATCTACAATGTGAAAGAGAAGTACACATTGTTCTTCACTCGAACAATCGTGCACAAAGAAGAGAACGACACAACTGATTGTCGTCTCTAGATCTACAAACTAGGATCTAAATTACGACAAGTTGTTTCTCGACCTACGGCTCCCAACACACTCTTGAAAATACCTTGATGAAGGCGTGAGAGTTCTGAAAGAAGTTCAAACAGAGTTCGAGAAAAAAGTCATAGTTTTGAGGTTTTGCCAAATTACATATATACCGGGGAGTTCTTTTCTGAACAGAGGAAGTACTTTTTAATATATAATTTTTATTTTTAAATTCAACACTAATTTTGATCGATATTAATTCGAAATGACTTGTGTCAAATATCATAAATCAAATATAAATTTTATTTTGAGACGGAGGGAATACATTATAGGGAGTAAGAGAGTCAATACTAGTCAAAATTATAAATCTGTGCAAACAAGGGTCGGCCCGTTCGGCCCGCCCAGCCCACCCTTTAAAAAGGGCGGATATGGACAACCCTTAATACCCAAATGGGCGGGCCGGCCCAAGCCCGAATTGTACATGGGCGGGTCTAGAAGTTACTTTAAGCCTCTGGGCCAACATGCCCGCCCATATTCATCAAATATATTTACTTTATTATTAATTACTTAGTCAATACAAATTTTAAAATTTTCTATAATTCATGTATAATAGTTTAATTCACTCACCTCTTTTAAACAAAAATCAATACTCTTTTAATGAATCAGTATGATGAGTTTATTAATTATGCAACAATATCTCTATTATGCTTTCTATATAAATGTGGTGATTGATTATTTTATTTTAAACATTAAAAAGAGTTCAATGTTTTTTTAAATTTTTTGTACAAATTAAATTTTCTTGATGTTTTATCCGGGCCGGGCAGCCTGGTGGGCAGTCCGGCCCGCAAAGACGGGCGGGTATGGGTAAAGAATTAGCCCATCAAATACGGGCCGGGTCAAGCCCGCCCATGTAAATGGGCTAGTAATTTATATTAAGCTCAGCCCAGATCCGGTCCGAATTCTTATTTGAACAGGATTAGACTCAAAAAGAAAAAATAGGGCTGACATTTCTTCGGATCCAACATAAAACCCGCCCCGATTCCAATCCAGTCAGAAACTCAGAACTAATGAATCTGTTGGCGCCCTTGGAATTTGGATTTATCCAAGCACCTTGTAAACTTGAAATAAAGCCCATAGTTTCTTACTTTTATTGCCAATACATATATGCTCCCCACTTCCCCCATAAATTTCCTTTCTAGTTTAACTTGTTGGTCAATTTTTTTTTAAATTTCGAGTTCAAATTATAAGAATGCTCATAGTTTAATTTTTGATTGAATTAATTTGGGTTATTGAGTGTTATTGATATTTATCTCAAAAAAGTAAATTAAAAAAAGAAATGAGAATATTTTCTGAGAAATCAAAAAAAGAAAAAAAATACATTTTCAGACGTATAAATAAAGATTTTAATGCTTAAGTTATTACGGAGTACATTAGAACCATAAAAATCAAATGGCAAAAACAATTATGGATGAAGGGAGTATTTTTCTCTTGTTAGAAAGTTTGTGGTAGAATTGTACTCATATGACTATAAGTCTATAACTCTTCTAATCAGAAAATCATATGTTTAAGGGAAAAAAAACAAACTAAGACTAAAACATAAAAATGTAACAAAGTACTAATGATTTCATCTTTTTATTTTCAAAATAGAGTTACAGTGTCAATATAATGTTAATGATGTCAATATATACAATAGTAAAAACAAGGTTAAAGTAACATCTTAGCATTAAAAATTTGGTATCTAACTTTTCTCTTTTGTATTTTTAAAAATAAAATTCTCAAACTATCATAAAGAATTAAAACTAACCAAAATGAGAACTAATATACCAGTATTTATTGACCTGAATTTTTTTGGGGTGTTTATGAATGGAGTAAACGTTGGAAATTTAAAAATGTTTAAAATCTCATACGCAATTCTCAATCGCTTTTAGGATTTGACATTAAAAAAAATGATTCAACCGTCCCTAACAATTACGGGCATATATACATACAGATAAATAGCTGGTTTTAGGCGCAACAGGCATCATCGAAGCTCCAAAGCTCTAAGGAACCGCCGCCAACCGCCGTTTCCGACGCCGGAATAACAGGCACAGCCGGCATGTGGCCGTCGAGATAAGGTATTTCAAAGAACTTCATGAACGATTCGTACGCCATTAGCTCCTCCGAGAGCTTCTGCACCTGGCTCTCTTCGTTCGACGCATTCATCCGTTCCTCCCCAATCTGCTGATTCGTATGAGATCCTCCATTGCTATTCTCTGACGCTGAAGCAGATCGAGACGCACCTCCGCTCTCAGATGAAGGATCGACGGCGGCGGATCTGCTCATCGAGTGATTGAAAGGAAGATCGCCGCCGGACATCTCGAATTTCGGCCGCCGGGAAGGGAAGTATTCGTGACGATGGAAATCATCCTCGTTGGGGAAGTTGACCTTGGCCTTCTCTCCTCTGATTTTCCGAGCCTCCCTGTCGTACGCCCTCGCGGCTTCCTCCGCCGTGTTGAACGTTCCCAGCCAAACCCTAACGCCTTTTCTCGGATCTCGAATCTCCGCCGCCCACTTGCCCCAGGGCCGCTGCCTTATCCCCCTGTACAGATTCTTCCTCTGCCTCTTCTTCCCCCTCTCTGCACGCTCACCACCTGTTCGTCAAAACTCCCCAATCAGAAATAATCTTAACATTGGAATTTATTTTTATCTAATAAAAAATTGCACTAAGAGATAAAACATTGAACAGCATGCTGTTGTTACCAGTAGCGCCGCTGGCGGGGGAGAAACCGGAACCGGCGGCGGCAGAAATGGGGGCGGTAAAATCGGGCCAGAAACGGGCGGAGCTAGGAGAGATATCCGACGGGGAGACGCGGCGCTGGCCGCCGCTGGAGTTGCGAGGAAGCAGATCGAAGAGAATAGCACCTCCACACATGATTTACGTTTTGGTATTGTTGGGAAAAAAGTTTGAAGAAAAATCTGGAGACTTTAACAATGGTGCAAAGGTTAGACCGAATAGGGTTTAAATTTATAGCAAAGTGAAAAGCTGTAATGAAGCGTTTTTTGGTCATACGAAGAAGAAGAAGATAAAAAAACGTGTACTAAGTTGGTACTTGGTAGACAACTTTTCCTGATACTTCGAGTTGTCAAAGTTTAAAGCATTTCAATTCCCAAATACTCCATTGGAGTAATAATTTATTGATGAAAAATAAATTAGATTTTAATCACATATTAAATATGAATTCAAAGATTTTATGTTTAATATAATTATTTTTCATTGCACTCAAGATGAAATTTGGATATTAGCATCTGTTGTCCTATCAACTAGTGGGTGATAGTACAATTCAATTCACAAATATAAGTTGGAACTTAGAAAATTAGACATTGGACCAAACGTTCAATTTCTAGACTGGCGTTGAATTAATGTTAAGTTCTTAGAGACCCACCACATATATGTAATATACTACTCCCTCCGTCCCACTCTTTTTCTCCACTTTCATTTTTGCACACCATCCAATGCACTTCTTTAATCCATTTTATCTTGTAACTTGTATATTAAAAAATTATAAAAATTATATATTAATAATCTATATGTTAAGACAAATCAAACAAGATCACACATGACTATTTTTAGACTTACACATTGAGAAAATTGATGAGTCAAAGTTCTTAGATGAACAATTCCAAAAGTCAAAACTGGACAAAAAGAGTGGGACGGAGGTAGTACTCATTTTTCTAGTCGACTTTGAGGGTTTACTACATTTGATTTACCAAATCCTCTCCAGAGGCGAAGTCGCAAAATCGATCACAATTCCTAACTCTGTCTTTCAGTATTTGTCTAATTTTGATATTTTACAAGCAATCATTTTTTAATCATTAACGTATAATTAAATAAATTTATAAAGTATATTAATTATATAAAATAATATTTTTAAAATTCAATTTAAAACAAACCTTATAATATTATTTTCTGCATCAATATCTAATATTAATTTTATTTAAGTAGTGGTCAAGACTTGTTAATTTTTACTACAAAAAATTTAAACTAGACAAGTATTCAAATACATAAGTAGTAGGAAAGAAGAATTGGATCATGAAAAATTGAAATTTAAGTATTGATAAAACACTGTATCATCAAAAAAACATTTTCAAAATTTTAAAGCTAAATACTGAAATTTTCAAACACGTACAAATACGTTTTGAAACAAGAAATAACATTAATATACCATTTTTACAAATGATTAATAAATATAAATATAAAAATAAATAATTAGCTTATCAATAACACTCCTTTGTGACTTTAGTCTTAGAAGAGGGTGTATGTGACTGACACTTATATAAAAAAAAGAGCAATGTTAGGGGTACACCAAAGGTATCCCCACCCCCTTCCTCATTACCCATTTTTATCTACTTTTTATTTATTTATTTATTTTAAAAAAATTCTTGCCTATTTTTGTGGTAATGGAGGGAGTGGGGAACAAATGAGGTACACCTTTGGTGCACCCCTAGCATTTTTCTTAAAAAAAATATTCCGTATAAACTAAGAAAAATCAGATAGTTTTGTCCAAATTGAACTCTTTTTCTTTATTTTTGAATAAAAGCAAGGCCGCAAGGGGGCATAAAAAAAACTCAGTATCGATCACAGAGACAAAATGTTAAACTACAAAAATACTACTACTCACTATTATACCATCTTCAGGGAGAAACCATAAAGATGAAATCATATTATTTCTGCTTGCTATTCAAACCATAAAACTTACAGTACCTTTGGAATCAAATCTTTACACAAAATGTGAATGACTACAACACAAATTGTCTCTAACAATGACATATTTTCACATGTCCCTTGTAAAATGGCCTTTACAGGTATACCTCATATCAACAATACTCTTCTTTTCCATATATGCATGCACCCACTACACTACACTACACTACCTCCCTCCTCACTCTACAATAACCAAACCACCGCCGGGGTTTTTTTTTTGAAAAATTTTCAAGATAAATAGGAACTAACCAAGAAACGAAGAACACTTTTGCGGTCAAAACTCTGTACCAGCACAGCATCGAAGAACGCCGTGCACGAACTAACATTCTAGAAAATGATTGTACCCAGGCCAGCTGCAACCTGTGGACCAACTCAAAACACCTAGGATAATTTCCACTCTGGAACATGCAACCACCTGCATTAAGTTTTCCTGTTATAAAGTTCTTTGCCCTAAATAAGGAAAAGAAAAGCTACACTTAACTAACACTATGCTTTGTTCAAGACTTCAAGGAATTTGAAAGGGAAAAGAAAAGAAAATGAGATGGAAAACATTTTTTTCTTATGTGGTAAGAGAGGAAAAGAAAAGAAAAGTGGAAGGAAAAGAAAATGGGAAGGCAAAATGTACTAAGAGAATGGAAAACAAAATTTTGGCCATTTTGGTGAGGAAAATGAGAGAAAACCATTTTCTTTTCTTTTCCTTACGATTTCTTGAACCAAACATATTGTAAATGTACCAAATCATCCAAGCTAGCTTCAACATGAAATAGCATGACACCTAATCCTTTCCCTCTGTCAATATCTGCCTGCAACAACTTTGTCAATGACAATTAGGGTCTGTTTAGAACCCAGAAAATACTAGGGAAAAAAATAAGAAAGTAAACATAGAGAATGGGAAAAAAAGTAAAATATTTGGAAAATAAAAGATGCGCTGAACTCTATAAATTCATTTTGGATATTTTTATAACATGATATTCATTTTATTTATTCATATAGAATTACCGACTACATAAAGAAAAAACAGTACATGTAAAATATAAAATTTAAATAGTAATCATATTTTAATTTCTTATGCATTTTCCAAACTAAAACCAAACATGTAAAAATAATTATCATCAACATTCTTCCCTTCTCCCTAGCATTTTCCAGGATCCAGACGTACACATAGAGAAAAGCAGATAGATCATGAATATGAACACTCAAGGGAGAGCATTGAAAATCTATGGGACAAAATCCAAAGCTTTCAATGAATGGACTCACCACACATGAACATATCGAAATGCTTGCTGCAGCCAGTGCTGATGTCACATCACCCATCATGCCTACCAATCACATTGTACAAGATATATACAATATTAGTCATACATACAGAATATATACCTACATATATATATATATATATATATATATATATATATATATATCTGTGTGTGTGCATGTGTGTGTGTGACTCTGGTAAAAGATTTCCAGTATTGCTTTCCACTTCCCCATACATTAATGTAGCAAACTTTAAAAATAAGTAATTTTACTAATTTGACAGCTAAACTAATCAATGAAAACAAGCAAAGAGAGTCTCTGTGACAGTATAGCTAATCTGCAAATCAGAATACAGTCAGGCCATTGCGCCAAAAAAGTTCTTTTCAAATAACTATACACCACTAGAAATTTTAACTCTGATTCACGCAAATTACCTAAATCCTGTGCATCACACATGCTTGAGAACTAGGATGGAATAAATGAAATGAAAAACTCGTACAACCTTTTCGGTCCATGCATACTACACAAAACCACTGTATGGAATGTCCTTCAAGGTTGTTCCACGATGATACATTGCTGGAGACCCAACTCTCCAACCCTGGGAACACCTCCTGGTAATTAGGAATGTTAGCATGAATAATCCTGAAAACGCCATTCCCCTGCAAGAAAGTCTCTCCTCTGCCCTTCAAGCTCACGTGCTGCAGATGCTTACTATGATTGCCATTCACCTTGGGGGTCTGGATGTTACTACTGTTAAAATGAAAATTATCTTCGCCACTCACCATTCCACTCGACATTTTCACTACCTTCTTTAGAATCTTCTCTGGTGTGACTATAGCCCCTTTAGAAGAATCAATCACTTCTCTTTCACTATTATCACCATATTCAGCAGCAAATTTATTTACTGATTCCACCGTTATTTCAGTTGCAGATAGAGCAGCTTGCTCTCTTAAAAACTGAAGATAAAAAGCATTGATGAGCATGACAATTGTTTAAAAATGATAAGATTTTTAACTGCAAATAAAAATAGCATACTCTCATTATCTTGTGCCTGGCACTACGTGTTTTAGCATGCTGCAACCAATGTTTGTGTCTTTCGAAAGCAGATTTGTTTGAGGGGGCCTGAGGAAAGTGGGAACGTGAGACTTCTGAAACTAACAAGCTGTGTGTTTGCACTAGTAAAACTATACTCCCTTTGTCCCAAAATGCTACAACCATGGTAGGATAGGACATGCTTGTCCTCGACAGAAACTCTAGTAGAGACGTCTAAGTAATTAAATTTGCAATTGTATCTCTTATTGATAAATGCAAAGCACTATTTATAATTTAATACTCACAATAATCATGGTGAGTACTAAATAGAGTTCTTATCTATTATGGAGTACTATATTTACATTAGGATTTAGGAATATTAACTAAAATAGAATATTACTCCATCAGTCCCGAATTAACAGTCCTCATTTCCTTTTTGGAACATCCCCAACAAAATCTTCTTTCCACTTTTGGAAAAGTTTTTGCAGGTCATATTTTTTCTACCTCCTTCGTATCACTCTCAACCAAACAATTTCCCTTCTCTTAAACTCCGTGCTGAATCAAATGTGGACTATTCAATTGGGACGGAGGGAGTATACTAATAGGGAACTATTACTAGTTTATATATATATATATATATATATATATATATATATATATATATATAATAAATTGAAAATTCAACAAAACATTAGGTGACATTAATATACTATTTTATTAAATGAGAAATGAGAAATGAGAAATGAAAAATGCAAATAAAAATGATATAAGTTGACTGTGTGAATAGTAACTTGGATTTTTAAGGACGAAGGGAGTAATAGGATTATAGGAAACTAATACTAATTTTACTAAATAATAATAATAATAACAACAACATGTCTGTATCACAAAAAAGAAATTCAAAAAAAAATTTTGCCCCAAAAAGAGTCATCTTGCAACAAGTTATTTGTACTAAAGAGAGTGCTGTTGCAAAAAGTTTGTCTAAAAAAATACAGGTTTAAAAATCTTTTTATTTTTTAAGCAAACTTAGTGTAAAGCAAAGTAACAAGCTTGAAGATAAGTTTCAGGCATAGAAGTGACCATAAATAACTGGTGAAAGCTTAAACCTTGATTGAGTCAAATAAATAACTGGTGAATGCATTACCTTGATTGAGTCTACTAAAACCAAAAGTTTTACCTTACTCAAATAAGACTTTTTTTGGACAGATGAAGTGCTTTCTCGTTTCTACCCTTGGGTGGTGAGGGTGAGGGTAGAGGCGTGTGTATAATAAGGGTGCACTAGAAATAAAACACTAAGAAACTAACACTGTAGGTTATGATCTCCACAACTTCAGCATTGGCCAGTACATGCACAGGAGAGACAATGTTCCCATTCACCTACACAGAAAGCTAATACTCAAATGGCATATTGACTCAAGATGCATATGAACCAGTAGCAAAGTAATAATAAAAGTACCTTTGCAGCCACCATTTTATTGCCAATATCATTGTGTATCATATATGCATAATCAATTACAGTAGCCCCCTCTGGTAGATTTTTAATCTGTTGGCAACAAATTTTTACTCCATTAAAAGTTAAAACTAACGACATATAAAAGTGACGTTTAAAAAACACAGTATATTCACCTCTCCCATGGGTGTAAATACAAAAACTCTACTGCCTAAAAGATCTCTTGTAACAGTGTCCACAAATTCTCTAGATGTTATATTCCCAACAAATTCTTCCTGCCACTCTCTAATTGCATTGAGCCAGCCAATCTGAATACAAGATCCATCAGATATTGCCATAGTTTATTAAAAGGCCCATACAATGCATAACAATTCAGAGAGGCAATATATATGCTACCCTAAGAGCAATATTGGCATTGTTGAAATAGATTGTCTTCTCAAGGGAACAGCCATTATGCATAACGTGTGCAATTAAGCCGTTAAGACACTTCCCACTATAATGTGCAGCAATGCCCCGCTCTGCTATTAGGTCCATCTCTTCTGTTCTTATCTGTCAATAAAGATGTATTGAGAAAGATAAATTAAGGTAATACTGAAAACCAATGGACACCTGTGCATGTTCCAGTTGTAAGATCATACCTGAACTTCCAAACGCATCATGCTTTCATAAAGAAATGGAATCACAGTTGTATGCAGACTCTGATAGCCATTAGGCTTTGGGGTTGCAATATAGTCTTTCATCTTTTAAAAGAAAAGAAACAAATATACTAACAATATGAAACAAAAACCTTTGATATATTGTAGGGGAAAACAAGAGTGTAGGAGACAATCATCCATACATACAGCTCGAGGAATGGGTGTCCAGATTCTGTGTACAAGTCCAAGTACATGGTAGCATATCTAGAAAATGAAACATTTTGAGAAAGCTAGCAACTAAAATGCAAACAACTTTTTTACATTTCATTAAAAGAACTAAACCATATAAGGTAAAATAAGGACCTTGATAATTACCTCATTTATCATTAGTTATTTACTATACATGCATATTTTTAAATATTCCCCAACAAAAAGGCTCAACTCAAAACAATGGTAGAATGTCTACATATGTAATACCTGCTGCACATTGCAAAGCCAGCCTAGTCCGGAACAAGATTTTGGTTTTATAATAATACGAAGCTGGTAATCCAAAATATAGAAGCCTTAGAAACAATTGAACACAATGCAACGTCTTTAAAAAACCAGTCAAAGTCCAGTATAAAGTAAAAACCTGTGCAATTTGGTTGACTTCATTTATCGAGCTCTTAGATTTGAGAACACCTTTGTAGATACTGTACGCAAGTAACAAAATGAAGTCAATGCCTCAATGGCCAACAGAAGTTTATGGCCAATGCCCGCGGATAGGACCAGTTCCATTCTCTATTTTTTTTTCATTCTCATATTTTCGTTTTTCAAAATTTGCTTTTCAAAAATATCATTACTAGGCTACTAGCATCTTCTTTTTTCTCAAACTCATCCTTCAACAACAAACAAAACCCAGTATAATTCCAACTCCAAGCTCTAGGGGTCAACACATGCACAATAATACCCTGTAATTACAAAGACTGTTTCAGCTACACTTGCGCTGCATTTACTACCCAAAACTTCAGTTCAAGAAATGAGAATCATGTACACTAAATCAGTAATGCATATATATGCCAGATGAAGCCCTTATACATCCATGGATGAAGAAAATAAAGCAGCCACCCGGACAAATATCTGTTCCCGCCAGGAATAGAATGGTGGATGTACTATTCACCCATTCATTTTAGTATGAGCAAGTAAGCACCATTAAAAATATTACCCAGGACCAACACAGCTAATTCCCTAAATCCACACCACAACTTCTCCTTGCTAACATAGTATCCAAAGAGAATCAAGTGAAAAGATTTAACTTAGTGAATATGGGTGCACAGTCTTTAAGTATGATCCGTTGCAAAAAAAAATAGAGGAAAGAGAAAGAGAAAAATATACATCACAGAAAAGAAGGTAGAGTCCAAAGAGCACCTGTAAGGTTCTTTGCATATTAATCGGACCTCAGTGCTTACGTTCATGAGATCAAGGAATTGATCATCCTCAATTTTCTTTGTCAGTATTCTTTTTGCCTAAAAGAATGAAAAGGCACCATGACTGTCTAAACATACAACTATACAAGGTAATGCAAAGTAGAGTTCTTACCTCTAAGAGTTCTTTTTCATGCTCTTTACGAAGTTCTGCAATTCGTCTTTGTACCTTGGAAAAATCTTGGGCATTTGTGTACATGAATGCAATATTTTCAAGTTCAGACTGCAAACAGTAAAGTTAACTCGGTATTAAGAGAGAAGGGGGTCTTCACAGAAACAGTCTCCCTACTCCTAACGGTCAAGTCACAGTTAGTTTGGTTCAAGTATTAAAATACTCCCCTTGTTCCATTATTATCTTTGTTTACGATGTTTCATCAAACCGATTTTCAATTCAATTTATTTATATATAAATGTACACAAAAAATTACAAAATTTATACATTTGAAAACGACAATAAAAGCTCTTTAAAACAAGTTGTGACATGACTATGTCGTTTAACAAGTGATTAAAGTAAATAGGTAAGGAAAGAAGATATAGTGTGACCGTGTCAAACATGCAAGATTTCCAACATGTGTCACCATTAATGCATAATTAAACAGAATGATTCTTTTGAACCGTTTTTAGTCAATAATCAGTAGATTTTAAAGCTTCCAAGTTCCAAACATAACAAAACTAGCACACAGAAATTTCATATAAGCAAAATGAGGAAAGTAGATGCAAATAAACCGAGGCTGCAATTTGTAATGCAAACAGCTGCCATCTAAAATGAGTAAGTAAATAGGTCATAAATATCTTAGGAGTCAAAGGTACCAATCGCACGTGACAATATAGTGATTGCAATCCAAATAGCATGTAATGGGAGAAAGAAAATCTTTATTGTCTACAAAGCATGCAACTATTCACATTAACGTTTCATAGTAAAATACTATAATTCGGAAAGTGTGTAGCTGCATGACAAGAGGCACCTTAATTTGGTACATCCCAAGCAATTTGGCCAGAGGAGCAAAAACCTGTAGTGTCTCTTTGGCAATGTTGGACTGGGCACAAAAGATAATACTGATTATAAAACAGAAGTCAAAATACTCCAAAGAAACCCAACAATAAATGACAACTACCTGCTTATGGGGAGGCATATGTGAAAGAGTACGCATGTTGTGCAATCTATCAGCCAATTTGACTATTATTATACGGACCTAAAAGTTGATACTTTTAGTACCTTCAAAAATGAAATCAAGCAAGCAAGAAGCTAGAAAAAGCGTGTATCATGTCACCTCCTCAGTCATGGATAGAAACATCTGTCGAAGATCGTCAGCTTTGACATCTTGAGCAGAATGTTTTTCATCCTTACACTTGATCTTTCCAAGTTTGGATACCTTGCACCACCAAAGGGAATGGTATAAAACAGTTGAATGATTCAAAAGTACTAATTTTATTATGAGATTACCTTGGTCTCTCCCTCTACGATGCGGCGTACAGTAACACCAAATTCTTGCTCTATTCTTTCAAAGGAAATAACATTTGTATCTTCAACTGTATCATGTAATAACCCAGCAGCAATGGATTCCCAGTCCAGATCCTAAGAGATGCTTTTTATAATTATAAAAATAGGCCCTGAAAAAGCTGTTCTTACACTATGACAACTTATAACTTACCAGTTCTCCAAGAATTTGCGCAACTGCAACTGGATGTATGATGAAGGGCTCTCCACTACGTCGCTTTTGACCATCATGTGCCTCAAAGGCTAACTGTAAAGTGACGGGCAGTTATATTCAGAATATTGCAAACCCACCTTTGCTAATACTCTCCCTGTCGGGATCGTTGCGGGGGCGGTTTGAGATACTCTCCCTGTCGGGATCGTTCCGCCCGCCGCCTGCCCCGCCCGCAGCGACAGGGTTGACCATATACCTCTCTGGCGGGCAGGGGCAGGTGGTGGGAGGGAGCATCGTAGGGACGCTCATCGCCTCCGGGCCGGTCATGAACATGGCGGCATCATTCAGTAATGCCGCGTACGAGAGGCTACCGTTGGAGGGAGACAAAAGCAACACGCCTCCGCCGCACCTCCAGGGCGGACTAGCAGGACGAGAGCAACAACAGCAACAACAACAGATGTTCGGGGACCCGACATCGTCGTCGTCGTCGATGTATCATCATCATCATCATGGTATGACTCCAAACCTTCTCAACCCAATTCATCATCATCAACAACATCATCAGCTTCCTCCGAATGAAGGGTATTGGGCTGGTGGCCGCCCTCCATTATAGCAAGCTAAGCTAGTTCTTGATGAACTCAATCATCTTCTTCTTCTTCATCATAAACAATGTATTTTGGAAAATATTTAGGTTAAATGCACGCAGTTTGATCCGCCATTTTGAGGTTAAGAGCTCACATTCTTTCATTTTCTATATATTTGAATAAGTTCATAATATAATTATTTCATTAATTACTACTCTTCTAAATAATAATAATGCAAACTTCATCAATTAAGCTTTAATTATTTTCTTGTTTTTCAGTGTTTTTTCCTACCACTTTTGAGAGTTTAATTTGAATATCTGATGATGAAATGTGCTTGTAATTTGGTTAATTCACTTCATATTTTATGTAGTTCCAAAAAAGAAAAATCAAATCTTGGATCTGATCATTCTCATATCCACATATATACAATGCAATCTTTTGTTGTATACAAATTAAACGTAATAATGGTTAATTTCTAGGGATTACAAACTGACTTGAAATCTTGTTTGTGTGTGATTTTTCTTATTGTGCTATTGGTGTGTGTGTCATTAATTATATTATGATTCATATAACTTATTAAATTAATTTTAATTTGAACTATTAAATGATCATTCATAGGCCATCAGCTAATCAAGAAAATTAAAGTGACAAACAAATGACACACTGATCATATATTATGTATAAATATATATAGTAGAGAAATATTGAGGTATGATGTGGTTATATTTATCAAACCTTTTACTAATATTTCATTCTAAGTTTTAATTAATTACATTCTTTAATTTAAAGTCACCATCCATCCCATTTATGTTTCTCTTGAAAATTGATAAATTGAATAACGGGCAGTTATATTCAGAATATTGCAAACCCACCTTTGCGTGTAATTCGCATAAGTGAAGGAAAGTGATCTTAGAGAATTTTGTTAAATAATTAAGAATATAGAAAGCACATTCAGGGAAAACTCACATTCAAAGCATTATGGACCCATTCCAACTCCTTAGGGGATAGATATGAGAGAGTCGGTTGAAGATCCTGAGAAAGCAAGAATAAGTTATCAGTTATATCATTCAACTTTCAGGCACCCGCAGCACCCAAACTTCTTACATGTTTCATTCAAAAGAAGAAGTAGAGACATTGCACGTGGGCACAACAAAATGGTGTTTTGAGTGTATATTTAAACACTTCAATAACCACATCCCTCAACTCCAAATTAAGTGACCTGATAACAATTTGAATTGTATGACATCAACACTCACATACCTCCCACAAACTTTCAGGGGATATTTCCTCAGATGGTTTTATCGAACAAGATAAAGAGCGGCATAGCTTCCAATTGCTCCTAGTATAATAAATCAACCTTCCAATTCCTGACTGCATAACATCATTTTTTTTCTTTTGGTGGTTACCAAGGGAAGAAGTATTGTGACGCTTAATAGAGAAATGAATTACAAGACAATTAATGATGTCAAAAAAAGACATGAGAACCCTCATTCCTATAGAATACAAATATGTAATCTCCATGTTGAAAGTAGCTTTAAAAATGGAATCATTTTAAATATTCTCAAATCTCAACAAGTAGAGCATCCTACAATAAGAACAGATACCATTAAACGTAATATGAATCAAGCTTCCATACTAGGAAAGTAGTGAAAGAACAGAGATATACTCCGCAAACAACATTAAATAGAATTCACTTAAACCTACTGGTGAACACATTCAAACTGTGAATTACCAACGATCAGTAAACTTACACATCCAATGCTACTTTGGTTTCCAGCCCGTCCATAAGAACCAATAGAGAGCTGTAGGGGGTGGGCAGTACTGGCTAGATATCCAGTCAATGCCCTTGGAGCCTTGGAGGCACATGACAGAACACCACAGTTCGACCTCCCGCTCACATCCCCATTCCAGGCCCTGTACATGTTAACAAATTCCACCAGCACTGCCAATTTTTTCAAAAATAAAAATAAAAATTAACTCCGGATCACCAATTGAAACATCAAAACCCTAAAAATCCAAAACTCTTAAAACATCAACTGAAGATATATGTGTAAAAAAAATCACCTGACATCGAAGAAGCGCCCGTCATGGCCACCGAATCATCCACGGGGACATGGATGAGTAATCACAGAGTTCAAACAAATTGAAGCTATGCAATTCAACCGGACAGACCGATACGCAAGTTCTGAGCGTAGAACTGGCGGTGAAGGGTGTCCCGCAGAGTCGGAGGAGAATTGCAACGAATCGCAGACAGAATCAAAAGAATGGCATTTGGAGGAAAGGAAAAGAAATGAGGATATTTATATCAGGGAAGCAAAGGGGTTGAACGGCGATGAACTAGTGAGAGATCGAGAGAGAGAGATGGAAGATGATGAAACAGTGTGCGAATTTAGCAGCTCCCGTGGCTTGGATAGATAACGATAAGTTTTTTTTTTGACGGCACGATAACGATAAGTTTGTTGTTGTGAGTTGTGACTTTGTGTTCATCGGGGGCGTACTACTTAAACGTGTCGCATATTAGTGCATTTTAAGAGCATTAGAAATTAGAATGTCATACATTTGGAACTCACTTTTGGTTACTTTTCATATTTTTTTGACATACTTTAGTTATTTTACTTTTTTTAAATGTATTTCTTAAAAATAATGTTTTAGAACAAAATTCGAAAAAATGGAATAGTAGACTGCATCGCGGATGGCTCGACAGGCAAGGTTCCTCATTTCTGCCTCACCACACTGTAGGAGGATGAAAGATGATGTGGCAGGCATGGTAGTGGCCTCTCCACGCTACTGCCATTGCTCTTATACATTTTCTACTTTCTTTTCACAATTTCTAATCTCACACTTTTATTTTTTTAAATCTTCGTATCAAATCAAACATACAACTTTGTTATTGAAGCATGTTGGCGCAATTGTAAGGCATCTCAAATTTCTCTACGTCGAGTGTTTGAGCCACACCTTTACCTTTAAGGAATTAAGATTATAAGATTTTAATCAAATATTTATAGCTATACATATTAGCTAGAGTGTCTTGTGTCGTGAGAAGTAGGTTGTGATTTTCCAACAAAAAAAGTATATTAATATTTCGTTGATATGATTATCGGATCAGTAGTGAATCTCATTGATGAAGGCCCATATCTGAATAACAATGAAAGAGTCCAATGAGATCAATGTGGAGAATCTTCGTTCGTTGGGGTCATGATGGATGGTCTCAAGCTAGCTAATAGTAGATTTCAGATATTCGATCATGAACGCCACAAAGCCATTATGTCATTGATGTGTCCATTGTTTTGATGTGCACCTTGATGATGCTTATTGGTTGAAGGAAGGGTACTAAATTTATAGTAAGACAAACTAAATAATTTATTAAAATCACATTTAAATTTAGGTAAAGTCTTAAATTCGATGTTTTTAAATCCAAGTTTCATATTCAATATGCAAATCATTGTATGAAATGTTGAACGATGGCTTGCATGGTGCATGCGTTGGGGAGCATGGATATGAGCTTCTGTAGACGAACGAAAAGAATATAGTAATCTTGTGTCTACTATGACAAATTGTGTCAACTGTAGACCAACCATTTACAATCATATACATATTTGTAATGACATGGTAAGATTATTAAGTAAAATTATTAACACGAGATAAAATATACAGATTGTTACATGTATGAGTGTGGTTAGTGGTATTGACCAATCTAGTATGTATGGTCATAAGGTTAATATGGTGAAAAAAAATGCTGCACTACCAACAAAATAACATTTTAAGTATATATGACTATTATTTTTACATGAAATAACTAAATTATTTAATTGATTAATTAAGACTAACATAAATGTAGACACAAAAAATTTCCCAAACTACAAAATGTTATTTTTAACCCTATTTCAAAACTCTTTACTCATTTCCATTACTCAACTACTTCAACAGGTACCACTATTACTTACTATGAAGATTTTACTTAAATAACACTAAAACATAATGATTTTCCCTAAATAGCATCACATGTGTTTTTCTTCCAAATGTAGCACTTTTAGTCATTATGCATTAGTCATTATTCAAGTAAATATTCACCATCACTGGACATTATGGACATTATTAAGTGTTATTTAGAGAATAAAACAATAGTGCTATTTAGAGAAATGACTTAAGTTTTAGTGCTATTTAGTGCAAATATTTCTACTGATATTTATGTAGCACTCACTCGTCATGAGGAAAATGAGAAAAAACTATTTTTTTTCCTACCAAATTCCTTGAACCAAACATAGGGCTAAAGAAGGTTGAGAATAATGAAGCCATATTTCATACACATTGAAGGCTATGAAACAAACATCATGGCAACGAAACATTTTCCAAGACAAGGCCATTGTAAAGGAGATAAACAAGCCATTCAAAAACCACATTGCAGCAAACCAAATAGGGAACAAACGTCAGGCTAATGTCAACAAAATTCTCTCGCCTTCCAGATTTGAAGAAATATTCTACTCATAAATCATAATCTCAAATCTACAACGCAACGATTGTAAGCTTGGTTTCGAGACATAGGAAAAATCTTCAAGAAGATTTGTCAAACGGATCTGTGTCATTGTAACAAGTATCCCACACCTTCTCAATGGCAGCCAAACGTCCATGTTGATTGGGAGATATGATACCCATTGAGGTCATCACTCTTCTTTTGATGCATTTCTTCACACACAAAAAAAAAATTCCTACTCCGTAAATGTTATACTCTCTTTGTTTTTTTAACAGTTTCAGCTTCATTTTTTGCGCATCCCACAAAACACTTCTATCCTTACCTAAAATGTCTAAAACACACCTCATTTCTTTCCTTTATTGTGGGGAGTTGTTTTGGGAGTATTTTAGACATTATAGGTGGCGTAGAAGTGTTTCGTGGGATCTGCAAAAAATGAAGGTGAACAATGAGCCAAGCCACTAGTTAGAATGTCAGCGACAAGCCGACAATTGCATCTTGCATATGGGTAAATTCATGTTCGATACTCCATCCGTTTAACGTAAATTATTTGTCTACTATTCACATGGTCAAACTTCACTCCCTTTCTTTTCCTATTTTTGTAATAAATTGCATTGAAAATAACTTGAGTCAATCATCGTAAACCAAAACAGGCGATTTAAAATGGGACGGGGGGAATACAATACTGATATATAGAGCTTACTTGTTCATGGCCTCGTATCTTGAAACGACCACGCAACCACTCTCTCACGATATGACAGTCCCCACTGAGATGGTTTGCTCTGATCTGTCATTTAAGATATTTAGCATGTTCGCGAAAATACACAACATATATACAGAGTATTTTCTTTAAGTTGAATAATCTCACACATAACTGCGTTCTATTTATTATCACAGACTCTGCAAATCTGCAATTAAGATTCATCAAGAACGTAAGAAACATCATAAACTCTTGTAGAAGAGCACAAACCTCAGCACAAGCAGTATGTTCGTCGCTTTTCCAGTCCAAATTTTTGACACGGCACTGATCATATGCATGGATGAGCTCATGGATGAGTACTTGGGTTACCTCATCTTGAAATCTCAAATTGTTTGCACATACTTTTATCTGAAACCACACGCAAGAAGTCTTATTTAGTTAGATACAAACGTTTTAAGCCAATGGCCTGCCAAACTATGAGAGTAAACTTCAAGTGTATGTATGGATCACGGTAAATACAAATAAAAGGGGAATGGTGAAATTGCAAAGAAAATGAAGTATTGCGTCATCATCATCATCACCACTACCACCACCTTAACCCCAACTACTTGGGAATGGTGAAATTAAACTCAGTGTCAATTAACTAATCATATAAAATTGAGTAACATTATAATTCATGCAAAAAACATAGATTATTTCCATCATCATCGTCATCATAGTTTATTTGACTTATTTCCACATGCATGGAAAATCTCATGAGACAACGATGAGTTAATGGAATATGTTTTTTTAACTTAAATGTGAAGATGTTTAGGTGTATTAGTCTTTATTCAAACGATGCAAATAGATTTAGGCCTTGTTTGGGAAATGGGTTTTCAATTAGCGTTAGCAATTTAAAATTATTTTCTAATGGTACATATTAACTTTTAAAATGCAAAAGTTAAACATTGTCATTATATAGCCTTTTTCAAAACATTAACACTGTGTTTGGTTCAAGAAATTTGAGAAGGAAAAGAAAAGAAAATGAAGTGGAAGATAATTTTTCTTATTTGGTTAGAGGGGAAAAGAAAGGAAAAAATAAGAAGGCAAAATATACCAAGTGGAGGGAAAATCAAATTTCTCCCATTTTAGTTAGGAAAATGAGAGAAAACCATTTTTTTTCTTTTCCTTCCAAATTCCTTGAACCAAACATAGTGTAAAGCTAACCTTTGTCATTAGATAGCCTTTTTCAAAAGGCTAAAGCTACGTTAAAGTTGTTGCCAAACGGGCACATAGTATCAATAAACTAGTTGGCTTTAGCCCCTTCCACTTTTCTTCTGTTATGTTTCTGTAATGTTTTCCAAGAACCAAACAGAGCCTAGAAAAACGGCCAATTAAAGGGAGAGAAAACAGGTGTAAGGGACAGTGATTTTACCCCGCCCCGGGGATCAAAAAAGCCTGATGCCGGCTTATTGCATCGGATGGCTTGGAAGAAATTATCCGTAACTCTGCAACCCAATTTCTCCATTTGCTCCCTCATGTACTTAACCTTTGGATCTGAAGCACATTCAACGCTACACATTACACTAAAACTATGGTCAAATGCATTTAATCTATATTATGACCAAAGAAAGAACAACGAATATTGTAAGATCCCACGAAAAGTAAGGTCTGGGGAGGCGAAGTGATAATGAGATATAGTTTACCCTCCAATCCCTTTTGGATCATGACAATGCCTTCTGCCACTGTGTGCCCGCCTTTCACACCAGTCCAGGTGGCAGTGCCAGCTGGCGGCTTGCCTCCCATTGCTATTTCTCTCAAGAATCAGCACAACACTTGATCCACCTTATATTTAATAAAAAAGGATCATTGTCTACAAAATTTTAAAGAGTAACAACAACAACAATAACTGGAGAATGCAATGAATGTTGCGCAATTTAATAGTCTCTTTTATACTTATTCACTTAGGCTATGTTTGGTTGGAGGTAGGTAAAAGTTTTATTAGGTAGGTAATGGTAGGTAATTGAAGGTAATGAATTAAAAAATTGTGTTTGGATTTTTATTAGGTAACGTGAGGTAGAGAAAAAATAAAATTACTAAAATATCCTTATGGTTGTTTTTCTTTATTTTTTTAGGATGTCAAAGGCAAAACTTCTTAAAAAATCCATTTGAGTATTTTGGCTTCAAAAGTGGTTCACGAAGCATAAAAAATACAAATTGAAAATTAAAAAAAGTCATCTATTGCAATATTGTCTTCCATATCACAATGTGAAAAATGATAAAGTCCTTCTTGCATAGTTAACTAGATAAATCAATCTACAGCAATTAATTAACCCTAGAGCTAAATATACAGAAACAAAAAAAGTGAAAAAAAGAAAAACTAAAAACTGAAAAAAAAAAATGAAATCTGAAAAAAAGGAAACAAAAAAAACAGAGGAAATTAAAAACTGGAAATTGAAAATTGAAAAAAGTGTAAAATTGAAGTAGAGCAGATCGAAAAAAGTGAAAAAAATCTGGAAATTGAAAAAAAAAGTAAAAATTGAAGAGCAAAAAAAAAAATAAGCAAAGGAGCAGCAGGTGGCGATAGAAATTGAAGTCCATCGCAGGTTTATGGCGGAATTGAGGAACAGAGCGTAAAAAAAAGTGAAAACTGAACGGGAATACCTGTGCGATCGGAACCGGAAGAAGAAGACGATGTGATTATGTGAAGATGGCGATTGGGTGAAGGGCAGCGGCAGATTTTATTGCCTCGATATTTTGCGGATTTGGCGGTCAAGCAAAATGCAACCTTACCTCTCTTCACCTTCTCCTACCTTCCCTTACCTATCTTAATTTTTATTACCAAACAAGGTAAAATATTAACTCTACCCCCTTCTACCTCTCCCTACCTCTAAACAAACACAGTGTTAATTATTACTCGGAGTAGCCCCTCAGTCCCAACTCCCAATACAAGCTTCTCATTTGACTTCTCTTAGTCAAAATTTGTAAATTTTGATCAGTGCACAGAAAAAAATACACAAGTCATTAGATTCGTTTACAGATGTAGTTTTAAAATACTCTGTATCATATTTCAATAGTACTTTGTACTCATTTATACATAAATATAGATATCAATGATAGTCAAAGTCAAACAAAAAGTTTATTTTGGGATGGGGGAGCATAAATTCTCTTAAGTTATACTTTAAAAACAACTCATCGATGATCTATCTCTTCTCCTCCAAAGTACAAACCTCTCCAACATCCAACTAATTTGGGGAAATTCATATTAGGTTGTCTGCTAAAATGGAAGCGAAAATAACTGACTGTGGAACATAACAACTGTTGAAAAATGTTTATAAAATACATAGGTACACATTGAAGCATGCCAATCTCATTATTCATAAATCATAGATTCAAAAATAACAATACGGAGAATAATTATTTTTTGGAACCAAGAAATAAAGAACCAAACTTTGGGCCACTGGGTGTAAGATTTAAGAGAAATATATAAACAGTCATACTCAAGAACTGTATCAATGAAAATAAGGGGGGAAACATACTGGTTTTGTAGTTTAGGTCTACAAGAGATCGGAGAAAGTTGTTACAGATTGCAAGAAGATGATGAATGAAGGCCTTCTGTGGTCTGAATACGGTGTCGCCGGGAACAACCCAAACTTCTTGTGGATTCTTTCCGTCTTCACTGGGTGGAAAGAGAACGGGAACTCAAAATGTCCCAAATTTACAATCCCACAAAGAAAATGACGAAAAAAATGTCTTTAGAGTCTATAAACTTCCTCTCTTAAATTTCTAATGTCTTCACCACACATTTTTTCATGGAGTAATGCTTCCATTCTCCCAAAGTCTATATTTAAAAGGTGGATATTTTCACATTTTTTATGGACTTGTACTTAAATATTTTTTTAAAAAAAGACTCACTTCTTTTACATTACAAATGCACTAAATTCCAATCATGGATTTTGGGTCTACAGAAAAATTTGTCTTTTTGATGTGAATATAAAGAGAGCAAAGTGAATAAAAAATGTGTCCCTAGCAACTTGGTGAATGCTCATGTACAAATGGATATATCCAAAACATTACTTATTATTTTAAATGTAATTACAATTAAATCTAAAAATGCAATAAAATCTGATTAAATTTAATAAGAGCAAATAGAGAGACCAAACTCTATGACTCTACTCCATGTGATAATTTTTCATACCAACTTGGATCACGCCCATCATGTCGTCCCACTCAGTATCACGTCAGTTTTTCTTATCTTCAACTCATGCTCATCATGCTTAATTTTTTTTATTTTTTAAAAATATTGTTATATGAAAATAATTTAAATTAAAAACTTAAAATAAATATTTTATTAAAATTAAAAATCACAATAACATTATGCGAAAAAAGAAATAAAAGCGATAGATGACACTTGTTTGAAAGAATGTAATTTACATTCCTTTTACATCAATTTTAATTAAAATTATTTAAACAAAAAATAATATATATATATATATAATTTAATTTTAAAAAAACGTATGAAAAATTAAAAATTATTTAAAATAAAATATTTATTTCATTTAATTATTCAAAAAAACTTTTTTTTTAAAAAAGTAAAACAATAAAATTGAGAGGTAGAAAAAACTGAAGAAAGAAAAAAGAAAGCAAACAACAAAAAAACAAACAAGAAAAAAAGAAATCATCAATCGATGTGGATGATGAAGGAAGACATGAAAATACAAAAAAGAGAAGGGAAAAAACTAAAATAAGAATAAAAAATAAAAATATATCAAAACATGAGTTTCATATTTTTATTCTAAAAATAGAAGTTGAAATGTATTTACATTATCAATCATGACTATGTACAATGCTAAAAAGTATAGTAAAATCACTAAAATGCACATGTATCGTGAGTGCGAGCTTCTATTTATGAAAAAAAACATAAAACTCTTATTTTAGTATTTTTTTCTATGTTTTACTTCTATCTTAAAAAGTAGAAAGAAAAAGAAGAAAGTTGACCGTGACGAGCCTACATGGACGCTACGTAGGCTATCAAGGATGCATTATACCACCCACGCCCTTCTATCTTAGAGAGAAGGATGGATGAGTTGATAAAAACATTATTTTTTTATCATTGCGAGACACAAAAGTAAGTTTCTACATTTGAAAAAAGAGAGTAAAGAAAAATTGATGACAAATCGTTTTCCTACACACACACTCTCCATAAAGGTTGATTTTTTTGAATAGAGAGCAACAAGAAAAAAGGAAATACTTGGTAAATACGTAGTATTCCTGAGAGCATTTCCTGATTTCCAACCCATAACACCGAACACAAACTTAAAATGCAATATAGAGTCAAAATGCAGTCATTTATCTATGATATCAAACTCAAAATATTTCTTTTTTCGTTACTGATGGGTGTATTCCCACCCAGAATAAATATCAGGTCCACATTACAAGGATTCACCAGGTGGATCAAGGAAATAATTCCAGGTGATGGAATCACTATTTGTAAGCTTGATTGGGTGCGGATTACGAGGATTCACCCGGGTGGGTTTTAGACACTTCATTTATCGAAATAAGGCAAGTTTAGGCAAAGGGAGAATCCATTGACTACCCGGGTGATCTATCAGATAAGATCACCCAGGAATCTTATCAAGAATTATGCGAATCTTCAGCTTGGCGTATTTTCGAATGTAGCGCTTAGAAGGGATCAGATCCTTTGCACCGACTAGTGCGTCCAAACACTACAAGACAAAACACATTAAGATATCAATCTAAGTAGAGGACAAACCATATAAGACAAAGATGAGTCACCTCGTCACATGGCTGAATGGGGGCAAACGACGCCCTGTCCCCCCCCCTCAACACTATAAATACACATGTAACCCTCGGTTATAGGGCTCTGAACTTTATCTATCTAGAATACCTCCTTGTACTCTTCTACATATTTAATAACAATTGGTCTACAGTCGTTTCCACTTACAGTCCTCTCAGTCAGCCTTTGTTTTCTACACCTTTTCATTGTATAAGCTTAGCAAACTATTCTAGACCCGGTCTAATACAATTTACCCGGGTGATTAATTTACACAATCAGACATTATAGCCGTTGGAAGGGAGGGGCCGCGTGACCAGATTTCTTTCTTCGCCCGTTAGGGGTTTGACATGGAGCAAATGGCATCGGAATAACGTGTTTGGAGGGCGGTGTTTAACGCCGCCATCACGCGGGCGTCATAGGTATTTTCAGTGTTCTAAAAGCGCTTTACTCGGTGCTAAGAAATTTTATAAAGAGTGAGGGGCCCGCATGGGTAGCTCAACTGGTCCAAGGAGAGGATGTCAAGTCCGTTGATCCTAGGGTTGAATCAAGACAACGACAGTGTGAGAATTCTATTATTTGTAATAACTTTTTGTGCGCACCAAACATGTGACAGTATTATATCATAATTTATGGTCCTCACAATCGCAAATTATATCATACAGACGGCTGTACGGGAAGAACCGTATAGTTGGCGAAAATTAGTGATCAAGTGGAGCGTGATCGAGTCAAACCCTAGGTGCGTTAGATCGGAAAAAGAAGGCAGTATAGAGCAGCGGGAGAGCAGATATGCGAAGGTGATGGTGATGCGAAGGTGATGGTGAAGATGATGGTGGAGAAGAAGCATTCACGGGGAGTCGAAGGGTTTAGGGGAAGTGGGAAATTTTTAGTCTGAAATAATTCAGCGTTTGGGTGAGGGAGAAAAAGAAGCGTTGGAAATTAATCTTAAACTAAGTGGAATGAATGAACAGCAGTTGAGAATTAACACTACTTTATTTGACAATGAGTACCACTTTGTTTCAGAATGAATACTATGTTATTGGTACATGAATATTATAATTATATAAAATAATTATATGAAAATAAATACTATCTTACTTCAAAATAAATAACACCCAAATGTACATATTTTTAGATACAACCAGTTATACATATACAGAACATGTGCGGATGATGGCTGGGACGGACGGACTCACACGTGTCTCTAACTCTGGAAGTTGGAAACCGGACACCGTCTCTTCCTCTATCGCTGTCTATATATGACTATACTATGTACTCGTATGATGAAGTTGATCAAATTCTTCCTGCAAATTCCCTCAAAATTCACAGGGAAGAAAAGTTCATGCCAACAACCTATACGTAGTGTCCCGTGTGGAAGATCTCGATGTCGGGCCCTAAGCTCGTAAGAGTTCCGAGCATGATGGAGAGGGTCGAGGACACTCTATCTGCTCACCGAAATGAACTCGTTGCCCTTCTCTCCAGGCACGCGCGCATATGTTTAATTTGTTTATGAGCTGAGTTGGATTGAAAAATCATTTGAATCTGCTAGAACATATATGCGAATTTGGTATGTTTTGTGTGTTAATTTTTTGTTTTCCCCTTGATAGGTATGTGGCGCAGGGGAAGGGGATATTGCAACCGCACAACCTGATCGACGAGCTTAACAACGTCATCTGCGATGAAACTGCGTGCGTGAAGCTCAGTGATGGTCCATTCAGTGAAGTTCTGAAAACTGCTCAGGTTTAATTTTGTTGGCCTTGTGATCCTTCACCAAACTGTATATCATGACGAATCTGTTGGGGGATGGGAGGTAAATGGGGTCTAATGGAAACAGGTTGTGTACATCTTGACCCCCAAAGTTCAATGGAGTTGGGGTTATAGTGGTTTTGTTGTTGTTGTTGTTGCATTTTGACTATTTTTAATTTCTGTGCTATTTAAGCTACACAATCTGATGTTACTGTTTTGCTGGTTTGTTTCCAATAGGAAGCCATAGTTCTTCCCCCTTTTGTTGCTTTAGCTATTCGTCCAAGGCCAGGTGTGTGGGAGTTTGTGCGTGTCAATGTGCATGAACTAAGCGTTGATCAGTTGACAGTTTCAGAGTATCTCAGTTTCAAGGAAGAGCTTGTTGATGGGCAGTAAGTATTTTTGCTCTTTCAGAAGATAGTATCTAAGTTCTCGCACCTAATGAGTAACATTTTAAATTCACTTCCTGGGTTGTTTTTGGCTGTTCCAGGAAAAATGATTCATTCATCCTTGAGCTTGATTTTCAGCCATTTAATGTTTTGGTACCACGACCCACCAGATCATCATCAATTGGGAACGGGGTTATATTCCTCAATCGACATCTCTCTTCAATCATGTTTTGTAACAAAGACTCTTTGGAGCCTTTACTTGATTTCCTTAGAGTACACAGTCACAAAGGACATGTAAGTTGTGCATGATGAAATTCACCGATGTATGCATCTTTACTTCCATTTTTGGTCTATGACATGCAGTTTCAGTTTTTCCTGATAACTCCTTCATGGAAGAACAATTTTAAATTTTCTAAGCATTTGGTTGGATTTGGAGTGTTCTAGTTCTGGATGAATTTAAGGTTAACATACTTGGTGTCAATATTCAATTATTTGTCCAAGGGGTTCCATCCCTTGTTGAGGACTAGAAGTTTATTTCTTTTGTTATCATTTCTTCTGGAGTTTTAAAATCCTAGAGCTCTTTCATTGAAGAACCATAGTTTCTAGTTCATACAGCTTCCAAGAGTTGGAATGCTGCAAGATTCATAGTAGGAGCCGTGTAGAGTGGTATTATTTTACTATTGTGCGCACACGAGTTTGTGCAGTTGGCGGCATGGAGATTGATTTTGATTGGTTTAGAAAATCTGTGTTTGACAAGTAATAAAAATCCAAGCCAATCTTGTGTTCTTCAATGTATTTAAAGAAGTTAGGAGTGACTTTATTAGTTTTCAACTAAGTTTCCTCTAGGTTTTTTTTCTTTCAACTAATGCCATATAAGGTACTGCTTGCATGCGTGAGAAGTTTACAGCTCACATTTCATATTTTCTGAATTATGTAACTAACCATGAAGGCATTGATGGTGAATGAACGGATATCAAAGATCTCTCGCCTCGAGTCCTTGTTGGCTAAGGCAGATGATTATCTTTCGAAGCTTCCATCAGAAGCACCATATTCAGAGTTTGAATATGTGTGAGTGTTCAATAAACTTGCTACTGTATTATATTTCATTGTTCCGGCTTATAATGAATAAACCTGGATGCTTGGTGTTTAATGATTAAAACTATTTAGCTGTGATCATGCAGATTGCAGGAAATGGGTTTTGAGAGAGGTTGGGGTGATACTGCTGGACGGGTTAAAGACATGATGCACCTGCTTTCTGACATCCTTCAGGCTCCAGATCCTGCAAACCTAGAAACATTTCTTGGTAGAATGCCTATGGTGTTCAATGTCGCCATTTTGTCAATTCATGGATACTTTGGCCAAGCAAATGTGCTGGGGTTGCCTGACACAGGTGGCCAGGTAACAACTCATAAATACACTTTTATAATCCTTGTTTCGTCTTGTCACATATTGAACGTAGTATGATCCCTTTCTTATGTATTGCATTGCTATATGTGCATCATGCTGAAAGGGAACATTGTTCATACATAAATACTTACATACCNACACACACATACACACATTCATGCATGCAGGCCCGCCCATACCCATGTTCTACAAGTTCATTTGCACAGGGCCCCCAAATTTAAGGGGCCCATTTCAGCCATTTGTATCATTTTTTGTACTGTGCTTTTTTTAAAAATACGGAGTATCAGTTAATCTCAGTTAATCCGACCACTAATATCTACTCGGCTACTTCGTATCAATCCAAGCCCAACTTTTCAAGACTATGTTTAAGTCTGCAATCTTTGTAAATTTACTATTTTCTTGTTTCATGTTGTTTGTTTCATATTTTTCCAACTTTAAGCATGTGTTTTTTATTCTTTCTAATTTTTTTCGGTGGACATTTTGTTTCAAAATTTACTAAAATTTCTAATTTTTGTTTCAGATTTATTTTTCTTCTACTCTAAAAATTGATTTTGCTTCATTCATTAGTTTCTTATTTTAGGTTTATTTTAAAAAAAACTAATTTGTTTTGTTATTTTTGAATCTTTAATTAGTTCTAAAAAATTGATTTTTTTTTTGTAACAAGATTATATTTGTATTTGTACCTCATATTCTATGAACAAAATTTAAAATTATAATGATTTTGTATATTATATGGAGTAATAATTCGTAATTAATGAAATAAAAATATTACTACCAATATTTATCTAATTTTTTCTTTATGCTAAATTTTTACCATTAATTTAATATAAAGTAAAATTTATACTCTATATTAGATATTGATACAAGAAATGATTTATTAGATTTATCTTATAAAATAATATTGAAACATTATTTTATCTCATTTTTATTTAATTATGTCAAATGTCAATCTTTGTTATGTAAAAAAATATTGGAGAAATATTCTGAAAGGGAAGAAATATTACTTTTGCACAGGGACTATTAAAATGATTGGGCGGGCCTGCATGCATGCAGACACACATAACAGTTTGCTCCATCAGCCTTTAGCCAAATGAGAGTGACATTTGCGCTTGCTGGAAATATAAAATTTTGATTTCCTTTGCAAATCATTTTTTTTGTTGATATGTAGGTTGTATATATACTGGATCAAGTGCGTGCCTTGGAGACTGAGATGCTTCAAAGAATAAAGCAGCAAGGACTTCATATTAAGCCTAGAATACTAATTGTAAGTAACACATCTATACAACAATTTTTTTAATTGTCTTGACATGCCTAACCAATAGATCAGTTTTCTATCTCTATGGAGGCTTTGTGATGAAAGATCTGATATTCTTTCCCCTGATCATGAAAAAGGTTACTCGATTGATACCTGATGCGAAAGGGACTTCTTGCAACCAGCGGTTGGAGAGAGTCAGCGGAACTGAATATTCACATATTTTGAGGGTCCCCTTTCGAACAGATAATGGGGTTCTTCGCAAATGGATATCAAGGTTTGATGTGTGGCCTTATCTGGAGAGATATGCCGAGGTGAGGCTAAACTGACTATTAGTTCTTATGTGGCTACAACTCATTTTGTAGCGTTGAGGCACTAAACTTTGAGGTCTCATATAATTTTTTTTCACTATATATAGTTCAAGGCTAGAGGAAAGGATTGCTAAGTAGTCTATTGATTTTTTATTAGGATGCTGCAAGTGAAATCTCAGCTGAGTTGCAAGGTGTGCCGGATCTGATCATTGGAAATTATAGTGATGGAAATCTAGTTGCATCCTTGTTATCCCATAAGTTAGGGGTGACACAGGTTGGGAGTTAACTTTTCATTTTAGTTTCTCGCTTGCTGTATTAAAGTCCTGAAAGCTTTTTACTTTTCGTTTCTTGCTTGGTATATTAAAGTGATGAGGTTATCTGCTGTTGAACTTTACTTCAGTTTTCTTTACATTTTTTATTTAAATAATTTTACTCATATTGAAGTCCTGCAGTACATGCTGATGAGGTTTTCATTTTTTTCTCTTGGACCTTTTTGCCCAGTGCACTATTGCACATGCATTGGAGAAAACCAAATATCCAGACTCTGATATATACTGGAAAAAGTTTGAGGAAAAGTATCATTTCTCCTGTCAGTTTACTGCTGATATACTGGCGATGAACAATTCAGATTTCATAATTACGAGTACATACCAAGAGATTGCTGGAACGTAAGTTTCTCTCATGTTAAATGTAATTAAAAATTTTAATCATCATATACACTATTCATGCATATCACATCAATATCAATTCCATATTTCCATGTATGGATTTTTTAGCCTATTCATGTATATCACTTCAATATCAATTCCATATTTTCATGTGTGGAATTTTTGGGCTATTACATAGTTGCAGCCAACACAATTGGTATACATTTTCCATGTTTAATTCCTTTTCTTTGTTTAAATCTTGTTAGAGTTACTTTTATCACATTCATTAGTTTACTCTTATTCTTGATGCCCATTTGATTTCAGGAAGAACACAGTTGGTCAATATGAGAGCCATACTTCTTTCACGTTGCCGGGTTTATACCGAGTTGTTCACGGGATTGATGTTTTTGATCCCAAATTTAATATAGTTTCGCCGGGAGCAGATGACATGATTTACTTCTCATACTCCGAGAAGGATAAGAGGCTTACATCCTTACATGGTTCAATAGAAAAGATGATATATGATACCGAGCAGAATGATGAACATATGTAAGTATCTATTGTCCCCTTTAATAATAAAAAACATGTTTATCATGAATATAGGTTGAGCTTAGCTTACATTATACAAACTTTAGGGGTTGGCATGCTGTTTGTTTTATTTTTTTAATTTGATGGGGGGACAAATATGTTTGGACAGCCATATCTGTCATTGCTGCATATGAGTTTTTAGTTATGCATGAATGCTTTAGGATATAGATGGATCTTGGAAGATGCCAGGGAAAGGTAAAAAAATGGCAAGGGAAATTATTTTCTTGCATTTGTGGTTATCTAGAAGAAAAATGATTATTTTTTAATATCTTTTCATATTTTAAGATTATAAATAAATATGTTTATTAAAAAAAGATTCAAAATAAAAAATAAATAATGAGTTTGATCTAATATCTGAAGTAAATTTATTGAGTTGGAGGCTTGTAGGTGTTGGAGCCAATCTTTTATTTTCTTACCATCCAATTTTCCTTTGTAACTCCCTCATCTTTTCTTTCGCTATTATTTTCCGAGCTTCAAACGGACCCCTAAAATTTTGATTGATCGAAACTGCAGCGTGGCACCAACTTCATAAGTTTGTTGTAAACATTATCTAGGGATGCATATAAGCATATTTCCTCTTCATAATGAAAAGGGAAGAAGAAATACAATAAGGGTGGTGGTGAGATTGAGATTGGTGTCTAGTTGCTGACCTATTCTGGGTTTGTCCACAGCGGCACACTGAGTGATCCATCAAAGCCTATAATATTCTCCATGGCAAGGCTTGACCGAGTAAAAAACATTACGGGGTTAGTGGAGTGCTACGCGAAGAATGCAAAGCTTAGAGAATTGGCAAACCTTGTTGTGGTTGCTGGCTACAATGATGTAAAGAAGTCAAGTGACCGAGAAGAGATAGCAGAAATTGAAAAGATGCATGCGCTTATAAGGCAATACAATCTGGATGGGCAGTTGAGATGGATTTCTGCCCAAACAAATAGGGCACGTAACGGTGAGCTTTACAGGTACATAGCTGATAAGAGGGGCATCTTTGTTCAGGTATGATGTTTTGTAATAACTGACATACTCATTTATGGTCACCTTGGGTGCCATATTTTGGAGGGGGTTGGAGTGAAGTCTTTGGAGGCCTGGAGGGCTTAGTCTATATGTTGATAAACATAATGTTTCAAAAAATAAATAAATGAATAAAGAGGGTGTTGGTAAACAACCTTTTCACCCCCATAAACGCTGTTTGGCGTTTGAGGCCAAAGAGTTGTTTGAACAGCTAACTAGGTGTTTCGTTGAGAGCAGTTTGGCTTTTAACAACTTTTATTCAAAACTACAAACTCGGTTTATAGACTTTAGACTTGTTCCATTATTTCAACTATATTAAAACAAAAATTATTCACCTACACACAAAAATTTGCAATGAATAATACTCCGTACAATATAACCAAGGGCAATAAGGTAATTTTTTAGAAAAAGACTTTTTGGTGAACAATTAATTTTACCAAACAGCTTTTCTAAAACCACTAATCCAATTTCTACCAATCCAAACAATTGATCCAAAAGACTAACAAAAAGCAGTTGTTTGCCAAACTCTCCCAAAAGGCCATAGACATGTTATACGGTTCCATATCTCGTCAATCTTTCAATTTTATAAAATCTCAATTACATATTCAAATATAGACCATGCGATCACCCCAAAGTCTCAACCCCTCCAAAATCCTCCATGCAAATAGACCCTCAGTAGTTAGTAGTTAATAATGCACATGACAAAACTGTGAAATTTAACCAAGGTTCTTCTTCTTCCTTACTAGCCTGCATTTTATGAAGCTTTTGGGTTGACTGTGGTGGAAGCCATGACTTGTGGCCTTCCAACATTTGCAACCAGCCATGGTGGGCCCATGGAGATTATTGAAGATGGTTTATCAGGGTTCCATATTGATCCTTACTACCCTGATCAAGCTGCTGAACTTATGACTAACTTCTTCCAAACATGTAAAGATAATCCTGAATACTGGGTTAAAATCTCTGAAGCAGGTCTTAAGAGGATAAAAGAGAGGTGTGCTTGTATAACAGAGAAGATACATTGACATCCCATGTCCATTCTTATATAATATAAAAATAAAGCATTGTTTGCCTATTCTAGGTATACATGGAAAATTTACTCAGATAGACTGATGACTTTAGCGGGAGTTTATGGTTTTTGGAAGTACGTGTCAAAGCTTGAGAGGAGGGAGACAAGGCGATACTTAGAGATGTTCTACATTCTCAAATACCGCGAGTTGGTGAGTTTTTTTGTCTCATAATTGGTCAATCTGCACATTCTCCATAACTATTTGGGTAAATCACTTGTTTACTCCCACAGTTATGCAGTCGTAGCAGTTTTTTTGTCTCTGCAATTTTTTTGTGAAAAAAAAAAAACTTTGAGTGTATCCCTTGGTAGCTGTTTTAGTCCTCTCTTTTATAACACCTTCTAGAATATCTAAGGTTGTAGTAAAAAATGAATTGAAATCCACCAGCATACTTTTCTTAGCACTAATAACTGTATTACAATTGTAGTATCTGTTCATATGTACTTTCTCAACCTATTGAAGCACCCTGAGTTATCATCTCCCCTGAGGATTGAACCCGTGACCTCCCATTTGAAAGAGTCAATTTGGTGCCATTGGACCACAAGGTCTTCGGCTTCCAGCATACTTTTGTTATGTCATTGCGGTGTCACTCCATTCGATTGCTTGGAATCATGTTAATTAATACTCCTTGCTTGCTGTAGAAAGAGTCTTTTTTGGGAACTAATTGAGTCCATGAAGAAAACCCTAATTTGTAATTATATCCAATAGTTTTTATTTTTAAAAAAGTTTCTCAAACAAGTTATGTATGTTAAATTTGGTTAAACAAACAAACAAATTTTAAATATATAGCTTTAATTGTTAATATCCAGTAGTAGTATTTACCTTACTAAAATTTAGCTGTACCTTGGTGAATAAGGACTGTCAAATAGCCCACATCCCCTAATTATGCCCATGAATAAAAATTCTTGAGTGGGAGTATTGCATTCCTGTTTTCAGGTAAACTCTGTTCCCTTGGCAGTTGATGATCAGTGAAACTGTTTGACTTCGGTGGAGGATGAATATAATAATGTTGTGTATATGTAAGCACTAATAAAAAATGCACCTCATGATTGGGTTCAAACTGCGAGTAAGCTGTTCACCATCCCAAGTTCAAGTACCATTTGGATGAGGGAGCTAGGTTGAATGGGATTCCATGCCGTTGAAGCCGTATTAGTAGTTCCGTGCATGATCCTCTCATCCTCCCACGATACTCTAGAAATATGTTCCATGAATGTTCATATCAAGAGAATGATGCAGGTACGTATTGTATTTCACTTGTGCTGTGTATGTCAATATCTCGTTTCGTTTGAATGAATGGATTTTACCTTGGCCTATGTGTGTGTATTTTACGGTTTAGATTTCATGGGACAATTCCACGGGTAGACTTACTACATGAGCGGCCTATGTCATATTCTATCGGTATCATAAATCTATACGGTCCAGTTGGGTAAAATTTTAACCTACAAGAGTGGGGCGGGGTATGCCGTGTAAGGACATGCCATGAACCAAGGTTGAACTCAACTTGTGAATCCTTGTGCCAGTAACTTGAGCTAGGTTAAACTCCCAAAGCTAGTGCAATGGCGTTGTTACTGTTATACGAAATTCGAGAATAACAATATGAACATGAAAACACGGCAACAGATTTACGTGGTTCACCAACGTTGTCTTGGCTACATCCACAAGAAGAGGGGGAGCAGTTTTATTATGGAGAGGCAAGAACAGAATACAACTTAGGGTTTGTGATAACACCTATATATATAGTGCTAGGCTACACCCTAACAGGCTTGGGGCCAACATACAGAATTGACAGATAATTAGTAGCCCAATACATCAACATTGCATACCGTGGGGCTGGAGGCGTCTCCGCGCCCCCGGACTCTCTGCTGTAACGGGTGAGATTCAAGGTATTACCAGTGTTACCATGCTACACAGTGAACTTGATAATTGTCAAACTTCTATAGGTCAAACTCTAATGCACCATAACCTTACTTGCCTTTTATAGGAGAACTAGAGGAGTAGTTGATTGTTCTATCATTTGTCAAAGCCTATACTTGCCTTTTTGTCATGCCAAGTTACCCATAAAAGCAGTCAAGCAGGGAGAAATATTTTCCCCTATACGCGCCATGTTTCTTTGGTACTGTAAGATTTATGGGAGTAGATGCTAAGTTTGGGGCTCATTTTTTGTGTGTGGAGGTTTTTGAAGTGATGGTTTGTCAAATAGCTAGTAGAAATATTTGATCAGCATATTTATGAAATTTTTTATCCTAAATAGAATTGGATTTCAAGAAACTTCGAAATTTCCAAGCTTTTTGAAGACATTTTTTTTCAGTTTCAACATTCTACTAAAAGAACCTCTTAAGTAAATACAAACCTCTAAAAGTTGTGTGAAGTAGGGCCAATATTATAGTTACTCCAAAATTCTGTTTTTCATCTTCTTTCGTACACTAAAAAGGATGAACTCCAGCTTGAGATGAGAGCCCCTTAGAATTGACGAGAGTGAATTATAAGAGTGAAATTGTAGAGTAGGACTTTGTTTTGGTGCTCCCTCCCTAAATAAACTTCTAACTTCTAAATTAGTATGCATATTGTCAAATTATTATTTATTTTTATTTTTAACTTATTTACGTTAATCCGTTGTTATAATAACATAGTACAGAGTAACATTAACCATCTGTTATACTCCTATACTCCCTTAGATCCTTCAATTTTTTTGGTTTTGATTTTTAAAAAATTAAATAATTTATATTTTACATTTGACTTGCCAAAAATACCCTCCAAATCCTGTTAGCAAAACAACATGTCCGTCGGGTTCTCTTCCTTTGAGTTAAACTTCTCCTCTCGTTTGATGGTGGACAATGGACGAGTTGTTCTTCAATGGCTAGATCCGGCAGATGAAACTCTCCACCCACCTCTAGCGCCTTCAGATGATTCTCGCCTTGCTCTTAGATCTCGACAAATCTAAGGAAGACTATATAGATTGCAACGATGAGTGCACGTTGTGCGGTTTGAATTTCTGCAAGAGATCTTTGTGTCAGAGAACTAGATCCATGTCTCCTCTTCTAACCACCTCGTTCCAGTGGCACGAAGATTCCATCAAAATTGAAGTCATCGAAGTCTATGAATTGAAATCGAAGAACCATTGAAATTGAAATTGAAATCAAGGAGAATAGAGATGAAGCTCGAAGATTGAATGTCGTTTTTGCACCTCGAAGATTGAATCACTAAGAAAAAGAAAAGGAAGATAAGATTTCAATGAATGATGAGACAAAGGATAAGATTGGAATGAATAGGGTTTGATTTGTAAAGAGTGATTAGGAAGAATAAAAGATTTTTTTAGAGAAATAAAAAATGTTTTTAGCGGTAAAAGAAAAGAGGGAAGAAGATTTCCACGGTAATAGATAGTACTCTCTCCGTCTTAAAATTATCTTTTCACTTACTATTCACACGGTCAAAGTTAAATTATTTTTCTTTATCTATTTTCGTTAGTTATTTGATAAAATAATATAGTCTTGTCACTTCTTGTTTTGTAGAGCTTTTGATGCAGTTTTTAAATATATAAAATTTAATTTTAAATTTTATACCTACAATTAAATAAATTGGATTGAAAATAAAATTAGTTAAATCTCATAAACACAAACGGGAAAATAGTTTTAGGACGTAGAGTATTTTTTTTTCTCCCAATACTCCTTGTTGTGTTGCAGGGTGTCAACAAAGTTTATGTACAGGTATACCTTTCTCACACACACATTCACACTCGGTCGGACGGTAAATTGAATTTTGATCGAATTCTACCTCTTTGACAGTTCTTGTTTTGCCAACTGTGCAACGTTCACCGGCTTTTTATCTCTCCGCAGGATTAAGATTATTAAATGGAGTGCAAATGTGATAACAGTAACGGCTAACCCCCAATTCCATTCCCATCACTTTTCTACTGTGGGGAGGGTAACGTCTTCCACAGAAACGTCAGACCTGTTATGTTAGTACTGGTACCCTTTTTGACCATGTGATAAAGCGACCAATGGGGAGCGCGGAACAACTCCCGAAGCTCTGCTCCCACACTACCCACCCATTACTCCCCCCCCCNTTTCTTGGGGCCCACACTCAACGGCACTGCACTGCACTTTCTTTCCTCTGTCCCTGCTCCCCCTCCATGGGCCCCACATTTGATGCCTTAATTGACTACTTGTTCGTACGGAGCCACTATTTCGACTACACTTGTCCACTTGTCCATGATCCTACGAAAAATATTCTCTCTTATTTTTATCTCTTAATCGGTTAATCTCCCAAAGTTATAGTCACACTTTTTCTTTTACTCGTATTATACTTTCCCTAACCGGCCTAACGTTTCCATACTGGGTACTTAAGGCCATGTAAAATGGATGTCTGAATTCTGCTGTGTCGCTTGAGAAACGACGCCGGCCGTACCGGGCTCTCATTGCGTTCCCCGGCTGAAATTCAGCCGAGCGTGGTCTGCTCGAAAGGAGCCCATCCGGTCGGGAAACCTGGCAATTTTGGAAGGTTGGTTGTCCATTGTGACGGTCTGCTGTGCCGGACCGAATTTATTTATTTATTTTAAATATTCAGCCTCCATTGCACCGGCTGTATATTGCAACGGGCAGCGGCTTTCGTTCTCCATTGTAAATGGTCTTATATTTATTTTCACACTCCCTCCATTCCTTTAAACCCTTCCACTTTTGACTTTTGGCAAAAATAAAGAAAGTGTAATTTTGGTTGACTTTCCAATTTTGCCCCTGATGTGATGGGTAAAAGTAAGATGTGATATTTTGGTTATTAGAGAAAAAGTATGATGTGATAGGTAGGGTATGAAAAAGTAAGGGTAAAAGTGGTTTTTTAATAGAAAGTGGAAGTGTTTTAGGGAATTCAAAAAAACGAAAGAGGAAGGGTTTTGTGGAACAGAGAGAGTACTTTTTATTGGTATGTATATCTTTCCAATCACTTTTCCTTTTTCAATTAGGGTGTCCTCCATCCGAGACGATAGAATATAGTGTACTTTTTCATCTCTTTTCAATTTTAATATTTGGGAGGGGTTGAAAAGATATATTTTTATAATCGAAATTTATGTAAAAGAAATTAAAGTATAGATATTCAAAGTTGGATGGAACAAAGTTGGAACATCATTTAGGGGCACATAGTACACATCTACTACGTATGATTTTGGCCAATTTGGGGTGTAGACTATTTTGGGGCCAGTTCTCATTTTGGGGCACATAGCACATAAACTCAGTATCATTAAATCAAAATTAAATTGGAGAATGCAATTGAAGAGGGATGGGGAATGTGTTTGGGTTGGGACGTGACTTACCGGGGGGTAAAGGCGGTAGGATTTACCCGGGTCATGGGAATCAAGGTTTTTTATTACCCAGTTAAAGAGGTTCCCTCCATTTTACTAATAGCTCAAGAAGAAGATTAGGCCATACTAATTAAGCAAGCACATTATCATTCAGTAACTCCATACTTAATAATGATACCCCCAAATACACACAATTAACTAATTAAGAAAACACATTCCCAGCCACCTTGAGCTGAAGTTAAAGCACATTCCCAGCCACCTTGAGCTGAAGTTAAAGCTGTCCATAGGAATGAGCCAGATATGCCAGGGCTCCAACAAGTGGCGCATTGATGTAAGTGGACGGCTCAGATTGCTCGTAGTCCGACCGCTGATCCGGGAAATTGTAGTGCTGGTCCGGCCCGCCAACCACCGCCCCCACAAGCACATTTGGATTCGGCGCGCCGGAACTCATCACGTTGAACCCTGCCTGACACTGGATCTTCCCCGGGTGCACTGCCACGGACGGTAGGGAGGATCCCCTGTGGTGGATCCTCTGCGGGTATCTCGTGCCGTACCCCACCATGTAGGACATCCGCAAAGGGTTGTCCCCCAACAGGTAGTCCACCTGCCTCCTGGCAACGCCCCTCAGGTGCTTCGGCGTGACCACCACGCCTCCACAGTTGACGAACGTACGGGCAGAGGTGAGGTATTTCGCGTAGGTGAGGAGGAGGAAGGCGGTGGAGGTGACGTACTGCATGTTACTGTCGCTCATCTTGAATAATAGCCCCGCAGGAGTGTACTGCGCTTGGGAGGTCGGAGTTCCGGGGACGAGGGAACATATATAGTTGTCGGCGTGGCCCTTGTAGTCGTGGAGGGTTTGGATTCTCTGTACGAGGAAGGATTTCGAGAGGAGGATTCTTGCCCCGACGTGCTTGTTGTCCCACCCGAAGGTGTTGTCGGTCTCCCCTGCCCCTAGGGTCTGCCCGTTGCGCTCAATGTAGCTCAAATACGCCACGTTCTTGGTCGCCTTGTGCAGCCACGCCGCTCCCCACAACAGCTCGTCTTCATACCCGGAGAATGAACAGTAGAAAGGGCACACAAACGGCCTCAACCCATTGCTGTAGGAGCCTCTGTACTTATTGGCGAAGGCAAACACCCGGACGGCCCGGCGGGAGAGGATTTTGGAGTAAGAAGGGTCACATCTCCGGAACACCAGAGATGCAGCGGCGAGAGCGGCAGCAGTTTCGGCAGCAACCTCCGTCCCGGGGTTGTTCTTGTCGACCTTGAACACGCTCCTGGGAGTGTCCATGTCCTCTGGCCTCTCCCAGCAGGCGTGGTCCCTGTTGGCGTCCCCCACCTGGACGTATATGACGTCCGGGTAGGCGGTGGCCTTGAGGAGGTAGTCCGTGGCCCACCGAATCGCCTCCCGGGCGTTCTGGAGCTCCCCTTTCATCAGGCCGCCGAACTCCAAGACGCTCCATGACAGCATTGTGGTTGTGAATGCCATTGGGAAACCGAACTTCACATTGTCCCCTGCATCATAGTATCCTCCCACCAAATCCACCTGCATTTTTTTGCAATTTGTTGGAATATAAAAATCTTTTTTCGAGTCTAAAAACACGATGTTAGTTCATTGAAATTGGTACAAGGATTTTATTGATCAAGAGATCTCGAGTTTAAACATCACAAAAAGTAAATTCAAAAAGACCCAAATTGCATCTTGAGGATGGGAAACAGAGAGTAAATGGGGAAAAGAAGGGTGAAAAGGGTGGAGCGTGACGTACACGCGCCGCGGAGCCGTCGGAGA